GAGATGAGGAAATGCCACTACTGGGATCTGGATTCTGAGGCATGGAGATCAATCATATGACTTGTATTGGCCATCGGGCCACTCATCCTTTTTATTTACTCCAAGATATATGATTTGCATATGCTGCTGAGTGTGATACGGAGAGAAACTTAAGTGCAGTTAAGACGTTAAGATGTTGGTATTCTGAACTTATCATGCATTATTATGTTTTTTTATTTATTCATATGACATTGCGTGAATGCAAATCGTTACATTAGCGTTCTAATTGCATGCAAGTTCTTTTTTCTCTTGAGGTAGAGTGTAGTAAAAACTCAACAAGTGTTTGCATTGCAGTATACAAACTTTGTGCACCACCTAAAAAGGCAAAAAAGGAAATAATACAGACTATTTTTCTACCCAACTGTTTTTTTTCAATTCTTTTCCTTAATTTCTCTTCAAGTTTTCTGAAGTACTCTTAAATTCATGACCAAGAAAATTGAAAAGAAAACGACAATTAGCTACATCCATATAAAGTCATTATTATATAGTCCTCAATCCTGCATGGTTTATAAGAGTGATTACAACGTCAACATCAACAAAACTTTATTTCACTAAGTAGAGTTGGCTGTATGAATCTTAGAACATCGTTGCACTCGATTTTGCGCCAAATCTTCCATTAGGTTCAAGTACTATATGTCTTTTCTTCAAGTCTCTTTCCGAGTCTTTCTAGCTCTAAATACTCCATATTTTTTCTTAAAGTCTCTGCACTCGGCTGTATAAATCCATGTTCATAAGAGTGATTAACCTGAATTAAATTCTTTAAAGCAATATTTGTGGACAATGATCCAGCAACCAAATTTATACTATGATCCACCACTCGAATTCATCAAATGTCACGCAATAAGTGAGATTGTCTGATAAACAAACAGTGATAATTCACAGATTGCATGTAAGAATCGCCCGAGCAAGATAAGCTTCATTTCGATTCGGAATGTAAGCTCTTTTACTTATATTCTCTGGTAGCTTAGCTTGGAATGAGAAAGCTACCTATGGCTGGAATCCTAAGCATTCATTGTCAACCTATGCGTGCTTTGCTTTTAATTATTTCTAATTTTTTGGGCATGTTTAGTTTTCACATTGGTTTTTAACTTTAATCATGCATTCATTCATTCTTTCTTTTTTTAGCGTTGGCATGGCTTCATGGTGAAAATTGAAATGACAAGCAACTTTATCCACATGGGTGCATGGGGTGGCGAGGTGGCTTTGTGCTTAGTGGTACCAAATTCACCAAATTAAGCATCCTACACTGTCAATTGACTCAATTCTCCATGTCCCTACAAAAATTATGCATTCTCATGTCCCATGGTCCATCCCTATGACTCTCACTCGAGATAAATGTCTTTACTACGGAAATGTCACACTCGTGGTATCCTAGTTTAATAATTTAGGGTCATGTGTTTTAATTATTTTACATAACAGTATGGTTAGGTAAAGAATTACCTAATGTCATGTGTTTTAACTTTTTTTACATCGCATTGTATCTTTAGTCTAATGAATTATTGGAGTGTCTAGAGAAGTCTCAAGGGAGGAAAGAAGTCCCACCATTTCTTCAAAATCATAGTGACATTCTTGTTGCGTAAAAGTCTTTCTCGAATGACCAGCTAATATGAGACTTTCATTATATGAAGAAAAATTATCCTAAGACTGCCTAGTTATGCTAACTCAAGCATATGGTGAGGCCTATGTAGCGAACGTTACTATATGAATGACGTGATCGAGGAAAAAAATTTCAAAATGTTGGCAATTCAAATAGATACTCCATGTGTCATTAAATAAGTATAGTAATAGAAAACGGTAAAATACAGTAAAACCTCCCCTTCCTTTCTTTCTCTTGAACCCTTTTCAATTTATATTAGAGAACTTTAACGAAAAGTTTTCGATACTATTCATTTTAACGAAAAATCATATTTTCCATGTTCCATTCTCGCTCCAGATTTCCGTGTTTCGTTTTCTCCACCCTATCCCACCCCATGCCCAAGTAAACTGTAAAACACAGTAAAACCTCCCCTCTCTCTCCCAGGTCTCTCGATATCTCTAATTCTCGACGCTCCATCTGTCTCGCTCAACCGCGCACACTCAGAGACATACATACATACATTTCAAGTAGCTCATACAGTTCTCTTCTCTCTCTCTCTCTCTCTCTTTTTCTTTTGCCGTAAAGAATAAGCTTCTGGAGAAAAGGAAAAAAAGAAAGGAATGTCGATCTGAACCTACTTCCCACACTAACATTTCGCAAAAACCCAAATCAAAATTTACGTTCTTTTTCCCATTACAGAGAGAGAAAGAGGAGAGAGAGAGTGAGTGAGTGAGTGAGTTGCCAGTTTTGAGAGAGAGAGTGATATGGGTGGGGTGACGTCGTCCATGGCGGCCAAGTTTGCCTTTTTCCCACCGAACCCACCTTCCTACAAGCTCATCACAGACGACCACACCGGCCTTCTGCTTCTCAGCCCCTTCCCTCACCGGGAAAACGTGGAGGTTCTGAAACTGCCGACCCGCCGTGGCACTGAGGTTGTGGCCATCTACATTCGCCACCCCTTGGCCACTTCTACTCTGCTCTACTCCCACGGCAACGCCGCCGATCTGGGCCAGATGTACGAGCTCTTCATCGAATTAAGCATCCACCTGCGCGTCAATCTCATGGGGTACTCTGTTCTCTACTCTCTCTTCTTCCAAGTTTGTCACTTTTTGCTACTGTGTCATTTTTGGAATCTTGGGTTTTTTATCTCCAGATTTTGAGCTTTGTGTTCATTTTTCTTGATTACTTGCTAGTGTTGGCATCTGGGCTTTTCTAAATTCAGAGCCTTTGTTAGTTTTTGTTGCTGGATTACTATTGGCATCTGGGTTTTACTAGTCCACTGATCAGCTATATTTGTTTGGGATTTTATGGTATTAATTTATGGGATTTTACTATAAAGTGGATATTTTGTAGATATTGGAGTAGTTCTTCATCTTTTAATTTGAAGTTATAGCTGAAATGGGATGTAGCTGGAGTTGTTATGCTTAGAGAATTTCATGAAATCAAAATCAGTTTGTCGTCGAGGTTCGGTCGGTTGATCTACGTTGTTTGCCATCTGTGAGTGAATTCTCCAGCCCCTTTGCCCGTTTAGACTGGATAGTCTGAGATGATTGAGTAATTGCTAGCGCCTTTCGTACTGTGATTCAGTAATTTAATGTCCACCGTGATTGCAGTTGTGGTGTAGCTTTGTATAATCTACTTACTGAGACTGTAAAATCTTTACCAGTGCCATTGCGTAACTTACTGATACAGTTTGATCCTTTAACATTGACATTGCTTACGTATCTGTATGTCTTTCAGGTACGACTATTCGGGGTATGGGCAATCAACTGGAAAGGTCTGTTGGAGATTTGAACAGTTTTTGTATTAACTAGTTGTTTGAGCACAGTGCATCATGTAAGTCCCATATTTTCTGTGTTCCAGGCAAGTGAGCAGAATACATATGCAGATATTGAAGCTGCATATAAGTGTCTTGAAGAATGCTATGGTACTAAGCAGGAAGATATCATTCTCTATGGCCAATCTGTTGGAAGTGGCCCCACGTTGGATCTTGCTGCTCGGCTGCCTCAGTTAAGAGCTGTTGTCTTGCATAGTCCCATACTATCTGGTTTAAGGGTCATGTATCCTGTAAAGCGTTCATACTGGTTTGACATTTATAAGGTAACACAATACTCTTCAATTTAGCGTATCTTATCTTATGCTTAGTTGCCAATTTTTTGGCCTTGCTCTAATTGTAAGTTTTGTTGTGTTATTTACGCACAGAATATCGATAAAATTCCACTGGTCCATTGTCCCGTTCTCATCATTCATGTAAGTTTGCTACTCCATATTCGTCTACCTTATATCATAAATGTTAACACTCAACCAAACCAGACTCCTTTTGATGCATGCATTTGACCAGATATTATCTTGTGCGATGTCTTATATCAGACAAAAAATTACATGCCGTATAACATACTGTTAACAGTTTTATTGATGCATTAGAGTATAGAAACCCTGCTGTTCTTAACAATTAATTTCCGAGGTTTGATTTTTTAGCCAAAGAACGGAATTTTAAGAAAGTATTACGGTGCTGTATAAGGGTTTTGTCTGATCATCATCTGGCACGCCATGTCGAAAGATTATATATATGATGACTATATGAGATGTCAAATCGGCCTACTCTTCACATTTTTTAGCCATTATATTTTCCTGTAGGGGACTGCGGATGAAGTAGTCGATTGTTCTCATGGCAAGCAACTCTGGGAACTGTGTAAAGAGAAATATGAACCACTGTGGCTTAAAGGAGGAAACCACTGTGATTTAGAGCTCTATCCTGAGTATATCAGACATCTCAAGAAGTTCATATCAACCGTTGAGAAGTCTCCTTCCCAGAGATACGGTTCTAGGAGAAGCACAGACCAGTTTGAGCAGCCTCGGAAGAGTACTGATGTTTATGAAGTTTCAAGGAAGAGCACAGATCGAAGGGAGAAACCGAGAAAGAGCACTGATAGGCCTGAAAAACTGAAAAATCAGTTCATCAGTGCTGATAAACTAGAAAAACTAAGAGTATCTTTTGACCACATGGAAAGGTCGCGGAGAAGCGTGGACTGCCATGAGAAGTCTAGAAAAAGTATCGACCACCAAATGGACAGAGCACGGAAGAGTGTGGATCGATTGGATAGAATACGAACTGGGTAATTGTTGTTCTAAAACCATATGCAAAATTCATAGGGCTTGGTGTTGTCAGAAAATTATTTCGGTCTTTTTTCTTCCTTCTAATTTATGGTATTCTTGCTGTGTAATTTGGGTTTGTGGCAGTTGTATAACTTCTATTTCATGAAATGAGAAAGGGTTTGATGTTAAATATGGAAATGGCGATTGTCTATTTCTGAACAAGTTCGAGAAACAAAAACAATTGCAATCGAGATTTCGATCTCTCGTTCTCGAATTGTGACACCAGAAATGGTTCATACTAACTCTTTATTCGATTACTTGTATATTCTCTAAATAAGTTTACAACTTGCTGTTGATTACACATTGTGCATGAAACATGGGTACAATTTGAAAGAACAAACAAGATGTAACAGAAACTTAAAGAGAAATGTTAAAACTTCATTTGCTGTCAAGGAAGATAGCTTCTGAGCAGGTTATGTACTTTGTCCCTGCAACCATATATTGTTGCAAAGTGCTGACTTCTGTGCGAACCAACATTCCAAAGTTTCACCTCGTCCTCGCTTTTGGGCGAAGGACATCACTTAAGTAAACTACGACCTATCCAGGATAAGCGGGTCTTGCAGAGAGCCGGCTACATTTTAGGCGTGCGCTCACTGTGTTCAACTATGGCTGTTGGAGGAAGAGTGCCAATGCAGATCTCATGAACTGTTGCAAAAAGTGGGAAGAAATCTAGCCACCCACGGTGGCTTAAAACTTCGTAAACCTCTTTTGCGGTTGAGACACCCTTTAGAAAAGGAAAGCGAAAATTGATAAACAATGCTGAGTAATAAAAAGATAGTTCCAAAAATCTGAGCAATAACACAGTTCAGTTCTTATAATTTTCAATGTGAACCTGTAATTTTTGACCCTGCAGCATTTCTGCTTCGAGCTCATCAAACGATCTGCAGACAACAAACGCATAAGGGTAATAGTTGGAAACCACCTACTTTTCACAAGGTTTATGTGCCAAATTGTGGAGCTTTTACCTTTTCCCTTCACTCCTTGCAAAAGCTTCTGCCACTTTCCTGTTTCTTCCTCCCACTGCCAAACACACTGAGGTTAGAAAGAAAGAAAAACAAAATATGAATATAGGAGATCACTATGCTTCCTTACGGCATGTTGTGATGAGATCAGCGACGCCACAGCTTTCGAAGAAGGTGGTGTCCTTGACAGATGAAAATAACATCTTGGAAAATGCCTTCATCTCCCTAAGACCAATTCTCATAATTGCAGCCTGGTCATTCAAAATAAGCAGCCAAAATAAAATAGAAAAAGCAGATGACACATGGGTTCAACCTTTACTGAAATTTTTGAACTTACCTTCGTGTTATTTCCCATCTCCAATCCATCCACAAAACCTGCTGCTATGGCCACAACATTTTTCAGGGTTCCACACAGTTCTACTCCTTCCACGTCTTGGACCTATAGATTTCACACAAACCCAAAAAGGTGTAAATAGAGCATTCCTCTAATATATACTTTGATGTGATGCAGAGGAAAGTTTTAGTGCTTATGCGCTACCGAATTCTTACTAAATCGTGGGTTGTTAAACTAGTTCGCGTCCATGCCAAACATTCATGATAGTAAGAGAACTTCAGTACGACAGTGATTGTAACAATGTATTCTATGTACTCACAGGTGTGACTATGAAGTAGGAAGTACTAAACAGTTGAACCCATTTCTGTGCAATCTCTTTTTTCTCTCTGTATCCAACCGTGGCTTCACTAAATTTCTCCACAGCAATCTACACAAAGAGTCTCTAGTTTCAGATGAACCAGATGGGATATGATCTGAGAAACGAAATCTTTTAAGAAGAGTGAAAAATCAAGCTAAATAACCTCATTAGCTATGTTTGCTCCCATCAGAACACAACAATTAATACCCAATTGATCTGAGATGAGTGTCGAGATCATGCATGGGCCTTCCATCTTGACCTCCATTCCTTTGATGAGGGAAATCGCCTCCACATCTGCTTTTACCTTCCCAACAAGCCTCCTGCATATACCCTCCATAAATTGATGTGGAGTAACAAACACCAACATGTTCGCACCGTTCACTGCAAAACTCACCCTATTATAAAAAATTTGCTCCAAGCACCCAACAAATTACACAAATTCAAAACATACTAACTTCAAAAAGTTCAGCACAGCTTTTGCTGAGAAAAGAAGTACCTGCATTCTCAAGGTCCGGGTCTGCAACAACATTTTTCCCCAGCTTAATGCCAGGCAGATATTTCACATTCTCCTATAACACAATACAAACGTTTTCAGTGGTGTAAATTCATTCACAATTAAGAGGAATGCATTAAAGATCATTGCTTTTTTACATTGTTGCGGTTGATGGCATCTGTGAGCTTCTCACCACTTGGTAACGTTTCCTCAAACACCCACATTCTCACTTCATCTGAATTCCGATGCAGAAAAAATCTCAAATTGCAAGTGGGATTTCTTTCAAAACTCGAATTAAAATTGGGGTTTCAGAATTTTCATCCATTGAATACCCAACAGAACAAAATCCCAGAATCAAACAAGAAAATTCAATTAATCTGGCATTCTCTAGGGAACAAAACTACAATATGTTCATTTTCTCAGCAACCAAACATACGATTAGAGAATAATATTCTGACCGTTGGCATACATAAAGATTCAGTCTTTGCATGCAGAAAGAAAATGGAAAATGCAGAAAACAAACAGGAAATAATAATACCGTGGAAAGAAGAGAGCCTGAGGGTGTTGGAGGCAATGAGCTTGGCGGCAACACTGCCCCAGTTGCCACTGCCTACGACGGTGACTCTGGTTTTCTGGGGAGGTTCAGCAGGGCCAGTAGTGTAATTTTCCTCCTGAAGTTCTGGAGCCATGGATGAAGAGGAGAGAGAGAGACGAGGGCAAAAGGGTAATGCGTGGAAGAGAGAGCAATAGGAATAGGAGGAGCGAGAGAGAAGGAGAGGAGACACAGAATATAAGAGAGAAGACAGTCGTCGGCGCGGAGATGCCATACACGTTTCGTCACAAACGATGTGTATTCTTGTTAAATCTGGCGATATCTTCTAAGAGACACTAAATTATATGTACTACCATATTTATGTATCTTTTTTATGTTTTTAACGTTTTATCTCTCTCTGTCCATTCAAATGTAAATAAAAACATCGTCATAAAATTGTGAAAATATTGGTTGTGCTGGGATGAATCCTAGATGTTGGTTTCTGGTTTTTGATGTTATAGTCATGTAATTCTAGCAGTGGTGGGAAAGGGATCCTCTTCGGACCTTTTGGTGTTCGAGAAATATATATGTAAAGGTCTTTTGAGGACTATCTGTCTGTTTGAAAATAGTCATTTTTGTGCGCACTAAGTGTTTAAGTGTTTGACAATATGTATTTCGCACGTTGCACTAACAACACTCTTTAAATTATCTCAAAAGCATTTATCAGATTGTTTCGGCATATATCAATATTCGTTGACATGTGCACAACATAGTCCAGTTGATGACAACAAACTCACCAAGTGTGCGACGTAATCAATCAGTGAATAAATTTATTTCTTTTTTGCATGCTATGCGCTCTATTTTTATTTGAAAAACTTAAACCTTTAACATTGAGACCCTTCAAGATTCGAATTCTGAATCTGTCACTGCACACTAGTCTCATCTGGATCTCTTAAGAGGGTGCATTTTAAGCATTGAATTCTTGATATTGACTATATGTACCCATTTGATCTTTTGGTATTACAAGATGACACTGGATAATCTACTACAAACCAAGGTCTACTATATGAACATGGGAGGGTAGGATAGGATGACGGTTATCTCGTGATCCGGTACAATTGGAAATAGTCATATTTACTTATCAGAAATGGATTATCTCCTGAGCATCTGCTTAGGATCCTACTGATCCACACATAAGGACTGTTGGATGAAAATCCAACGGCTACAAATAAGGGGATCCCTTTAAAGTTATAATAATTGTAGCCGTTGGATTTTCATCCAACGATCCTTGTGTGTGGGTCAATAGGATCCTGAGCAGATGCTCAGGAGAGAATCCACTTCCTTTACTTATCTGTCGAGAATTTGACGCATCTAAATAAATTTTGTGTATGTTGAATTTGTCGTAGGTTGACTCATTCAATGGAACGGGGCCAAATAATGTAGGGTAATTAGAATGAATGATCAAATTTTGATATTTGGTTACAAAATTGAGCAGTATTTATTATATTGTCATTATATCATTGTTGCATGCTTGTTATGCCATCGTTAATCATCATTATATGTTCAATATGTGGACCTTACTAAAAAAAACTGAATATTTTTGCAACTAAATCTCAAAATATGATCATTCCCATTAATTGCACAAAATCGTTATAGGAGGAAAAGCTATACCACAATGTTGTAGTAAGTAGGGTAAAGCAACTAGCTAAGCAATTGTATAACTTTATTACTTAAGAGGAAAATATACCGAATTATACTAAAAATTTAACTATTTTTTAGTAGAATGATAGTGTCAATATGTTAGATAGTTAATTGTTAAGTGAGAAAAATCAGTAAAGATCAAATCCGCATCAGAATGCCGCACATAAACACAACTATATTTTATCATTGCGATAAAAGCCATCTATCTACCCACAAAAGTTTACTATTTAAGAATCGTTTGTTGCGGATGAAAAGAATCAAGGATATATTCTTCTTCTTTATTTTCCTCATAATATCTTCGTCCCACGTACCATTTCTTGGTAGAAAGTGGGTAATATGGCTGCAAAAAGTAGGACAAACCGAATCTGTACTGTTACAGCATGCGTAGAGTGTCACTATGTTATTTCATATAAACTTGTTATCGGTCAAATTAGATTAGCAGGCTACAAAATAAAGTAGCCTAATTAGAACCCGGATCCTCTTCGGATCTTAATATCCTAGAGATTATTTAATCCGGATCATTGAAATTTGATCTAACGGCTACAATTATTATAACTTTAGAAGAGGCTCCTGTTTGTAGCAGTTTGATCAAATTTCAACGATCCGGATGATTTGATCCCTAAGCTTAGGATATTAGGATCCAGAGAGGATACGGGTTCGCCTAATTAAAGAGACTGCCCACGTCTACCTTAGTCTATTAATTAGAACTAATGATGCAATAATTCACAATTAAAAATGGGACAATACTATTCATATATCTTTTTTTACCTTTCACACATTCTCTATTAATTTTTATCATTTGATTCCTTTCAATTTATTTGATCTAACAACTGAAAACTGAATGTGTGAAATGTTAAAAGAGGTGTTTGGATGCACCACCGTTAACAACGATATGTACAAGTATTGATTTAGACAAGTCGTTAAGTTGATACTGTTAAAATGGCACGGTACGTATCCCTCAGTGTTGTTTAATGGATAGTCTATTTTGATCATTAGGCTATCCATTAAGGGATTGAGACCATTTTTGAATCTCAAATTCCGGAGCTGACAGACCCAGCAAAACATTCAATTTAAATCATGGAGCTGTCATCAGTCTCGTTCCATTGGCTCACCTCATACATAAAATCACACTCTCATCTCTTTCTCTCTCTTAAATGGTCCATATTGTTGAGTCCATCGGCTCCGGAGTTTGAGATCCGGAGATAGTCTCAATTCTCCATTAAGCATATGTATGTGCATTGATGGTAAATTTACATACAGTTTAACAAAGCAAATGATGGTATAGCAATGAACATTAGGATGATACTAGGAAATATGATCCGAAGAATCTCAATAGAACAAAACGTCCGAGGACGAAACAAAAAAAAATGCTCCGCTGGGAACTCGTTTCATGTCCGCGTATTCGTGCCGGTTAGACATTGGCCATGAAATCCATCACTATACCGAGCAGATCGCGGGCATTCACATTTGGTCAAAACGGAACTATGCGCGGCTCTCTCGTGAATCGCCATAGAGAGTAGTATTACGGAAGTGAAGTAAGCCATGAAAGTAAAAACAATTACTTGGAATTAATTGTAGCTATCTTGCCTGATCCAGTGCTGCTCTTATTAACTACAAACGATGGGGAGTACGCAGTAATTAGCTAGGTTAATTACGGCGAGCTAAGGTTCGAGGTAATTATTGTGCACAGGTCGCTGCCTACCGGGGATCGAATAGTCCTCATCGTGCAACCACAAAGAAGACGGAGATGGAGAACGAGTCGGAAACGGATGCCCATAATTTACTTGTCTTCGTCCCACTGCATGCTGTACTTGGTGTTGCTGATCGTGTGATCTCATCCCACCTACGTACGTACAAACTTAATTACCATGCAGACATTAATTCATGCATGTTTGGTGAAAGAAAGAAAAAAATATCTAATTAGTACCTGCAGATAAATGAAGTCTGGCTGCTGCTGCGAACGTTTGAAGCTGCCAAAGAAATAAGAAGCAGATCATGATCATCTTAAGAACTACAACGACTATCTTCATTTTGTTATCCTTGTAGCTAATAATTGTTAGAACCCAAATTTCCTACTCTCCTGCTAGCTAGCTCTCAAGTTTGTTCCCAGCTAGCTCATGATCTAGAGAGAACTATAAATTTAGCTGCAAATATATCAATATATATATATATATATATATATTTATATTTATATTTATATAATTCTACCTAAATAATTTTAGATTTTTCTAACCTTTTATATTTCTTCCCCTATACAGTATTAAATTATATATAGCTTATTATCGTTGAAATACATTACCATTGAAAAAGTATCTTCAGATCTAACTCTACATGAAAATCTGAAAAGTAATGTTACAGATTGATGTTCCCGACATGCATATTATTATGCTTATTTATATATATATGTTTATTTTGTTCTTCCTGTTGCTTCCTCTGCTCAACACCTACATTTAAGTACTTTAGAAAGGAAAAGGGCATATCCATGTGTACCAGTACCATCGATCCATGTATGCCCACCACGTGATCTATGATCTTGAATCGATATCGGTCTCCCTACTTAACATAATAACTTTATAGAAATTAACAATATATTGTTATTTAATCACCATAGATGGAGACGAATTTCGGGCATGTATTTCACACAGCATGCTTTGAGTTTGATTTCTAACGTTGGTGAATCGTACGATGGTGGTCAGGGTGAGACTGAAATACTTTTGTGAGTCTTTCCGAATCCCCTAAGGATGAATTGACGGGAAAAGTCACCATCTGGTCTTCATTTCTTCCAAGAAAAAAAACAATATATTGTCATTTAAAAATATAAATTGATAACATTAGTAAGTGTTAAGATTATAAATCCCACATCGAGAAAAGAAAAATCCTTTGCATTTTTTTATAAGTAATTGAGCTACTTCTTATATTGTCAATTAATTTTATTGTAAAATCTCAACTTAAGTATACACATTTATATTTAGAACTCACATTATAACAGAGTATATCAAGTTATCAACAATATCATAATTTTTGTGAGTCTAAATAACATTGCTAATTTGTTCTTAAACACAACAACGTTCTATATATTCACAAAACCATGCATGCAACTTCGGATCTTCATCAATTGAAAGGAATAAACACAATGATCATGGATTTCTTCGTAGTTGGAAATTAGAATAGTGAAATTTAACTTACATCATGGTTCTATATTATTTACCATTTTCTCGCAGAATAAACATAGTCTGAAACATTTAATTAACATGTTGTCGGTTCTTGGTTGGCACATAATGTATCTAAACAACGAAGAGAATGCCGAAGAGACTCGTTCAAAATGAGGCTCTTTATGAACTTTTTGTCACTTCATAATTTAATGTTAATTTCTGTGTTGATATTATAAAATATTGTGCAAAAAACATGAAATATCAGAGAATCCATGAAAAGTCTCACTTTCAATAGTCTCCTTAGTACTTCTCAAACAACCAAACCCTAATCCAAATGCCAAAGTTAGGAAAAAAAAAAAAGAGAAAGAGGATCCTTGTTTTTCCTTCCATTAATAGCTATTTCTATTAATCTAGCAATAATTTAGAACCATGCATGATCCACTAAACCCGGCCAGCCAAGAAAACCCATAAAATCTCCTCTCTCCCCTTCCCTCTAAAACCAAATTAAACTATATATATCCTCTCTCTCTCTCTCTCTCTCTTCGATTAATTTACTCCACAGATTATCCCTACTCTCACTCCTACTAATCTCATATTAGTCTCTTAATCACCACCCACTTCCACCTCCTTAATTTGGCACGTTGGTTACGCAGTGGTTTTCCTATATATCTATCTCTAGAGAAGTGTTGCAAATCAAAGAACAAAAAAAAGGTTACACAAAACAAGAAGCAAAGATGGCACGTCAAGTCATTGTTCTTGCCCTAACCTTTGTAGCCATCGCTGGTGTTTTAGCACAAGATGAGTCAGCCACATCACCACCCTCCCCCTCCCCGGCTTCCTCCCTTGACGCCGCAACCTCACCATCATCTTCCAGCTCATCTACTCCTTCTCCCAGTGATGGTGGCGCCGACACCCCAGCCTCAGCCCCAGGCCCTGCTAACGAAATATCATCCCCTCCTTCTCCCAGCAGCGGCGACGCAGCTGCTCCTGAGGGCGAGACCACCGAGCCTGGATCTAAGTCTGGCACCGCGGCTGCCCCAGAAGGCGAGGCCGCAGCTGCGGGACCCTCGGACTCTGCATCGGAGGAGGAGGATTATCCCACTGATGATCTCTCAAGGCTCATAAAAAACTGAGGAGCCTCCAATTATCAAATTAATTTAATTGATCTTGTATGTTATCTTTCGTTATAGAGTCTCTCTATACGTGGACTTATGAATAAGAAGATATTGTGCAAATTAATTAAACAGTCTTAATACTAGAACATGTTGCGAAAGGGGGGAGAAAGATCAATCTGCTGTATTTTTGCATGTTTTTTGCCACTACTCTCTTGACGTGGATTCTTCTTCTTTTTGTTGTATCTGTATCCTTTGTACTAGCTATTTGATCAGTATTACTAATTTCAAGTTAATCTTTATTTTTAGAATACAAGAACTAATTTGTAACTTGAATTTTCAGTTGGAAAATGGAAACCAATTGCATGGTAACTTATTTGTTTGAAATAATAAAGAAGCATATAACAATTTTATTTGAGAAAAAAATGTTTTGGCCGAGCTTAGCAGTGTGGGTTTGTGACCAAGTAAGACATTAAAATGATTGGTTGTCTGCATGAACCCTAACCAAGTGCCCTCTTCAACCCTCAGGGTAGCAGGGTCCTTCATCCATCATGATTGGGTAGCTAAATAAATAAATAAAGTTTTGGAATTCATCTGCATGCATGTAAAACTATGCCTAACCCAATTTTTTGATTGTTATATTCTTGGAAATTTAATGTTTTGGAATTCATCTGCATGCACGCGAAACTATGCCTAACCCAATTTTCTGATTGTTATATTCTTGGAATTTTTTTTTTCAAACATAAACTTCATTGATAAATAAAGATGTTATAGGAGATAAACATAAAAATGAGCTGTAATTAAGACAAAAGAACAAAAAAGCCCAAGCAAAGTACATGATAATCCAATTAGACTCAGTACATTGACACAAGTCGTCACTGCCACAACCATCATGCACTTCGCCATTCCATCACTTGAGTTAGCGGATTCACCGTCAGGACCAACAAATACCAAAGGCCCCAAAATTAACAAAAACACAAATGTGCAAAGCAGCCCCAAATACAAAACAAATTCCTAATTTCACAACATCTCAGATCCACAAATAGTACATTAAATTGCTCCAAAATCACTCTGCTAACGAAAGAAACAACCAACACTAGCAACGGAAGAATTCTGCTACCAACAAAGCAAGTAGACAAAACATAATCAAAACTACAGAAGGAGGCAAAGCAGAGAGTCGGAGACCCAAACCAGCAAAGTGTTTTCGCACGTCTTCGTTTAAGTGAGCGACGCTCACTCTCGAGGTGGGTAGCAAACACGATGACTAGATAAGTCTTCTCGTTCGAAGGCAACATCTAGCAGGCAATTGAAGGATTTGTGAGTGGACGGGTGGAAGGATAGAGGACAACAGTTGTATGAGACATAAAGGAGCGAGATCAAGTGTCCAATCTGAAACGGATCTCAGGTTCTTGGAAATTAATTGGAACGTACGTATCAATGTTAATGTGTCATCAATATGAAACAAGTACGTGAATCAACATTTAAATAATAATTCAGTCAATAACTACCACGTCATTTGGTTTAGAAATTTCGGTCTCCCTAACATTACCCTATCAGAAATTGTTTGGCACGATACTAGCACACTGCGTGCATGCATGGAGACTCGAGTGCGATATATATGTATCTGCTCGTCTGTCTCGGATTCTACTAGATAAGTTTAGGAGTCCTACCTCTTACACACTTATGTAATTACTCATATATATTTATATATTATACGCATTGTAAATTAAATTAACGAAATCAAGAGTCCTAATTTTTTATTGCACCTGTGCACGCATGGAACAACCAATCAATTTGTTAATTTCTACGTTGTTAATTTACTGTCAACGATTAAGATACTGTCATGCCATTTACTAACGTTTAGAAAGTATAACACAAACAATTAGTAGACGAACAACATTTATGAATAGGTTGTCGAACTAATGACATGTTGGTTAAAAGCTTAGATAGGATAGGAGATAATGGACTAAGGAGAGAAGTCGGACTGATTTTTGTGTGTACATATATCTTTTTAATAACACGACATTTGAACTTCTCTAATCTGCAACGAGAATAACGAATCTAAGCGTAAAGAGATGACACCGTAATCCGACCAAGTGACCTAATGAAAGGATTTTGGGGGTTCATGAAGTCCAAAGGTTATCACCTCACAGTTCATTGTCCTCGAGGATTAAATTTGAATGATGTCGAAATTTTCATGCATTTCTAATTTGAGGTGCCATCAGAGACTGAGTCTCAAATGGTGTCTAATTTGTATATTTCGAGTAAAAAGAAGCAACACCATCGCAAATGTCCCCATAAAACGAAAGGTTTTTGTTTTGATTTCTAATTATAGTTCTTCTAAGAAAAAGCCTTCTCCTGCAACAAGACACAAATTCCTCCTACTTCATCTCCCTCCCATCCACCACCACCACCAGCCGCCTACCGAATCGATCTTTATATATCTCATTCCGTTCACCATCATCCTCCACACTACCTCCTTTGTTTCAAAGAACAATATTACAAAGACCGGAATAAAAACTCGAAACTGAGACAAAGACAAGATGGCAAATCAAGTGGTCGTCCTTACTCTCATCTTTGTTGTCATTATTGCTGGGGTTTCAGCCAAAAAGGCAAAGGCACCAGCAGCATCACCGTCACCGGGATCTGCCCCGTCCAGTTCTCCATCCAAGGCGCCAGCATCATCCCCCGCCAAAGGTCCAGCCACTGCCAAAGCTCCATCCAAAGACAAAACTCCATCTCCGTCAGGTGCCACTAAATCACCGTCCTCTGCCCCAGTGCCATCCCCCACGTCTTCATCGTCCTCTCCATCTTCTTCACCTAAGTCCGCACCATCATCATCGCCCAAATCGGCGCCAGCCAGTTCACCCTCCAGCTTCAAGAAGCCCAAGAAGCCCAAGAAGTCCACCAGTCCAGCTGCATCCCCCACGTCTGGGACTAGTCCCTCTCCTTCACCCTCCAGCTTCAAGAAGCCTAAGAAGCCCACCGGTCCGGCTGCATCCCCCACGTCTGGGACTAGTCCCTCTCCTTCACCCTCCAGCTTCAAGAAGCCCGCCAAGGCTCGACAACCCCAAGCCACGGCCAAGGCTCCCTCTAAATCTAATTAGAGTAAAAATTCAGAAAGAGAAAGGGATATCTATGTGATCACCATATGGTCCAAGATCCCGATCTGTGAGTAATAGCCTCTAACATTATGGGGTCTGCAGAACAGACTCATCTAGTTGTTGCTTAGTAGAACCAATAAATTCCATGGTCGTTTTGTTGGCCTGACCATAATCAACATTCAAGTTGCATACTTTGGGTATGTATTAATAAAACAACACGTAGTTCGACAAATTTGAAGGAAAAATGGGCATGATAAATTGGCATTATTTTGAAATGTAAGCACAAAAAACAACTGTTGTTAGTGTACAATTTGTATGACAATCTGATAGGGTAAAATTTCCTCATACAGCCATGTAAAGAAAGAAAATAATTTTTTAAATGAATATATCTTATGCAGCCAAAAAAAATAATCAGGGAACAACCCTGTTTCTCTTAATGGACAGTCTTCCGGAATGCCAGACTAAAATTTTGAAACACGGAGTTGACAGTTGGGTTGCGATCAGGCAAATACCTATTACCGTTTCTTAAGGAGCTCTGTCAAAGGGCTGGGTATCATTGTAACATACATCCCAAACAGCTTCCATGGCGTCCTTTGCAGCTGCTTCTGTGCAATATGGATTAGAAATGACTGATTTCATAACTCTTCGTCTCACACAATCCTTCAAATGTCAAATCGAGAATTCGATGAAAAGGTACAGTTAGTCTACAAACAATAAACTAGAGCATATGATAATATTGCAAGCAAATGGAAAACAACTAAGAATATGAGAAAGGTTTTCTCCATCTTCGGTTTATTTCAACCAATTACCATGATTCATTAAAACCCCTATTTTTAACTTGACAATGAGACAATCAAAGAAAAACAGAAATCAAGTGACTTGGTATTTGGTCTGTTTCCCCCTTCCTACAACCGTAGGTCTTTGGTCTTCATCTTTCCAAATCAAATTAAGGTAACAGACTAGTTTGCTTTATACGCAAAGAAAGTATCCTGAAGAATATACATTTAGTTTTTATTTAAATTGAAGCCAAATAACTCACTTGTTCATGACCTCGAATCTTTACAAAACCCCGCAACAATTCCCTTTTATAGTGGCAGTCACCACTTAGATGGCCAGCACGAATCTGTTTCAGAATGATGGTATGTAAATACTTGTGAAAAACAAATAAACTTGAGGTTTGAAGATACAATACGTCCAGTACAAGAAGAAGATTCAGTTGCTATATCGACACACACCTCACTGCAAGCATGATGAGCACAATTAGACCATTCCAAGTTTTTAGCACGACAATCATCAAAAGCGTGAATTAGCTCGTGTATCACTACTTGGTTGACATCATCTTGCATCGTCATATGATTACTGCACACCAGTATCTAGTACAAATGCAGACATACGGAACAGATAAAATATATCAGATTCGGAAGAAGCTCATCCTGCAGACATTTACTATTCTGAACTGTAACAGAACATTCTTCTACAAAGAATCAATTGACAGAGATAATTGAATGACAAGAAACTATGTTCCGCCACTCAGTTCACTCGAAGATTGAAACTTTCGAAACACAATGTCCATTCGTAGTAGTAATACACAGATTCTATTGCATTTGTTAAATTCCAATAGCAAAATGAAGTTTGCTGAAATCTGTAAAAATCAGAGCTTTTCAACTAAACAAATAGAAATGAAGAGAAACAGTGATAGAATTGTACCCCTTCGCCGCGAATATAACCGCCGGCAATCTGCTTGTTGCAATTAATGGCCTTGATGAACCTGTCCCCAATCCCACACCCAGACTGCTCCAAATGCTTCAACAGAAATTTCACCATCGGAGCTGTCGAAGAAACAGATCAAATCAAATCCAATAACCGACAGCGACAGCATGTTTGGTTGCACATAAATATACGAAACCAAAGATAAACCCTAAACCCTGAGCAGACATTAGAATTCATGACATGAATTTGTTTAAAGGAAAATAAAAAGCGGGGGAAAGTAGGAGCATACTCCGGAGGCTCCTCTGGATCATGGTTTGACATTCCTCCAACGTCTTGCCGCCGTTGACGGCGGAGGGGAAGCTTGTGGATCCGGGTTCCGGTGCGGGTTCAGCCTCCATGGATTGTGTTGCGTTTAAAATTGTTTCTCTCTGGCAGAGGAGCAAAGAGAAGGTGCTGGTCGGGTCATCCGGTTTGGATTTGGATAAAAGGTTGGATCCTGGGCTTGTGGGTTTATCTGACCCACGTTCACTGGGCTACGCATTGCTGGAGTTTTAAGTTGTCTCAATGTTGTGTTTCTTTTTTACATAACGTCTCTCTCCTTAATTTAGGGCAACAAAAACGTTACTGGGTTGATAACGAGTAATGCTATACTTACCGCACTTAGACTGCTTTTAAGATATATGTAAGGCCATCAAAACATGCGTGTTCAATCTCTAATAGAGAGATTATACAAATGTGATTATGAAAAATATGATAAGAATATCATTTTTTTATTAAACATACAGTAATACAGGATTTGTGCAGACCGACTATATAGTGGTATTCCCTACTGTACGTAGGTTAGATTCTCTCACCAACAATGCGTATATATAAACTTACCAAAATAAATGAGTAATGTTACATTTAGCACATCTCATGTGACATTACATCTCTCTAATAATGGTAGGTCCTACCAAAATTTGGGGTCTCATCTCTATTAGAAAAGTGGTGAAATGTAATATAAAAATTATGGTAGAGTACGTAGTTGTCACCACTTAAATGGAATAAGGTCTCAAATTTGACTCATATAAGTGCGATGATATATGTTTGTGGCTAGTTCAAAATTAGCAGCATAACTAATCGTCGTCGTCCCAAAACCAAATCTTATCACAAAGGGAAGAGATTTTTTAGTGTGCTTGGAATACGGGATAGTATACCACATGTCATTATACAAATAGAGAGACACTTGAACAATAAAATTTCTCTCTACTGATACAATGATATATGGTGTACTATCCCGTATTTCGAACACACTGAAAATTTTCTCCACCTTGTCTTCTTTCTTTCTAAATTTCTAGTTAATAATAGTTTATTTTTACAAAAAGCATGAGTAGAAACACACAAGTCTGATTGTCTGATCGAAATTCAAGATCCTTGTAAATTTCAAACCATGATCCGTTAAGCCCGCTCAGCCAAGAAACCACATTACCTCTTAACCACAAGTTAATTAAGTAATTACTTAATATTAATGGTCATAAGGTCATGACAGAATAAACTAACACTGGTGTCTTATCCTCCACAATTTTCCTACGCTGTCTCCCTTCCACGCTCAGTCCTATAAATCTCATTCCCATTCAACCATATTATGATCCACCTACGTCCTTTGGTTGCGCAGTGTTTCTCTATATTTTACCACTATAAATATATATTTAGAGACAAACAACTGCAATAACCATTCATCAATTATCTCAAACACAAGAGAAAAACCTACCTTGCAAGGCAAGTAAACGAATTAACGCAACAGGTTACAAGCTGCAGCAAACTCTAATTTCGACAAAAACAAAGGGAAGAAGAGCGAGAAGCAAAATGGCGCGTCGAGAATTGGTTCTCATTGCTCTGATCTTGTTTGCCGTTGTCGGAGTTGCGATGGCAGCGGATTCGAGCAGTAGTCCTTCGGAATCGCCGAAGAAAGACGATAAAAAAAACTCTAAAGACGATAAAAAAGACTCTGACAGTTCATCTTCATCTTCCCCATCCTCCTCTCCATCATCAGATAAGGACAAATCATCATCAGGCAAGGACAAATCATCGGACAGCAAGTCCTCATCCGCCCCAAGCCCATCAGCACCGTCCCCCAAGTCATCCGACGATGATAAGTCATCAGACAAGGACAAATCATCATCTGCTCCGGCTCCAAGCAAGAGCAGCGACAAAGATAGCTCATCTCCGTCACCTAAATCCTCTGCCAGCTCACCCAAATCCAGCAAGGACAGCGGCAAAGACAGCGGTAAAGACAGCTCATCACCGTCGCCTAAGTCTTCGTCTTCCTCCTCCAGCTCTCCCAAGTCCTCAAAAGACAAGGACGACAGCAGTAGCAGTCCGGCTTCTTCCCCCAAGTCATCAAAAGACAAGGACAAAGACAAGGACAGTAGCTCCGGTCCATCTTCCGACGACTCCTCCAGCGCCTCCGCCCCTTCCCCCGATGACTCAGCCTCGGCATCCCCTCCTTCCCCTACCCGTGATACTACTACGGAGCCTCCCTCTGACGTTGTGACTGCGGACACACCCTTGCCCGCTGAGGCTCCCTCTAAAACCGCCGCCCTCCCCGCCTTCTTCTCCACTGCCTCCACCGCTGGTGCTGTCGTGCTCGCAGCCGCCTCCTTCTTTGCCTTTTGATCAAGCAAGCTTTAATTAGCTAATCGTCACCCCATGAATACTTGCATGCGCATGTTCTATTATGCCCTAATTAATTCGATGTTGGATCCTACGTACGTGGTCGTATAACTGTTTGTAACATCGAATGATTCCACATTTGTCCTGTTTCATTCGTTTACTCTACTTTGTATTAGTTTCTTTCAGATAATTAATGAAAGGGCATTTGCATTGAATTATTAGGACCTCTCTCTATTAATCTTGTTTGCACGGTGTTTCGGTTAATATTTAACTTTAGGCTTAGAGGAGAGAAAGCCCAAAAGAATTCAATAAGAAGAGTTTCGCCCGAAACCCAGCACCAAGCCCAGACCGTCCATCTCAAGACCAATTGGCGCTCCCCCATTAATGCAAAGGCTAGGTGCTTACAAGAGAAGTGACAACTGATGAAAATCAACCTACTCTCAGCCCAAAAGTATTTTTTCAATGGCAATACAAGTAAAATACTAATGAATCACTACCCTTCAATTGCTTTCGGGCAAGAACAAAGCTATAGGCAGTCAGACTAATTCGTCTATAAAAGGAGGAAGATGACCCAGAGACAAGAACACTCAATCAATCAAACAAACATACAACTTGTCTCTCAGCCAAGCAAATACCCAGAAAGTCATGCTTTGTCCAGACTCTGCACCCTTTTAGTCTTAAATTTCCTTATGAAGACATATTTTGTTTATGTAAAAGCTCTGCTACCTTTTCCTTTCTTTTTTTTTCAACCCCACCCCACCAGGCCTCGAACCTGGGACCTAATCTACCCTAACCCTTTACCCACACCCTCACCACTAGGCTATTCCTAGTGGCTTCTCTGCTACCTTTTCTTAAATGTTGTAGTATCAATCCGATCCCTCTTGTTTAAACTCGTTTCCAATCATCTCCTTTAGTACTAAACCTTTTCGTAAACTGCAAAGAGAAGAGACCGCAAGACGTTTAACCTTGCCCGACAAGGTGAAATCTTGCCCGACTCTCTTTGTTTTTGTCTTTCAATTAACATATCTGGTGTTATAATGTATTCCCTAGTTTATATTCAAGTTATTTCCAGTCCTTTGATGACCCAAAGCCCTGTCAGTTCTCAAATCTAGTTCACTTAGTGGTTTTATCAAGAATTGGAATGAATTAAACTGATGACTTGATCAGATCTGAACCTTCACCCCTTGATCATACCAGATAACTAAAAGTCCTTGATCTCAAAGCATAGAAAAGAACTTAATGTAGACTTAACCCATCTACAACAATCATTTGATAAACAAGAAGTCATAAATAACTTGGGGCGCAAGTAATCGGCTTAAAATACACATGTTCTACATCTGCCACTGCCATACAGAGATGGCAGTGGCACGCCTAAGCACCCAGTTGGTTTTGATTGCGAGTCTCAAGGCCTACACCTAAGGCCCCACAAAGGCACATTTCAGAACTAACTTTGTTATCCTCTTGCAGTATTGTGACAAGCAGGAGTCCGACAATCAACCAAAGTGCCAACTCCTCGGGGAGCTGTGTGCTCGAGCCAGGAACGCCCACCAACCAGATTTCCTGCCCGAACACATGGATTAATTATTGCACCATGATTTGAAACCTAGCTGATTTAATAATTTACGTTAGACAAATGCATGCATGCATGGTAGAAAAGTCTCTAAATTTTTTTTTATATTGTGATGGGAACACAGACGGTATACAATGTGTTTTTATGTAAGTGGTGGAAAATTTTATTTTTTAAGTTATTAATTTTTTAACACACATATCTCACCATTTATATAGTAACACGTGATGTATCACTTCGTGTGCCAGTTATATTGAAAAATCTCTCATAAAAAACAAACGTATATGTTTTTGACCTGCTGGTCTTCAAGATGATATAAATATAGTTATAAATCATGATCACCAGCTTGCAACGCTACGCTTGAAGCTCAAGTAAATAAAAATATTTATTCATATATGCACTTGAGGGATATATTAGGTTAATTTGATTCTCCTTCCCTCAACTATTGATTCTATTAGAAAATAAAAAACAACATATCTTGATCACATCTGCAAGACTTAAAGTTCAAAATAATATTTACCCATGAACTCAAAGTTTTACATTAATTTTATTCTTCCTCCCCAACTATCAAATTTTATTAGGAATTCAAAACAACATATATGATGATCACAACTACTTATAGTAAAAATAAAGTAAATTAATATTGCTTCTGGAAGGTGCATGGAGACTGGAGAGTGTGAATCCATGCTTGTAGAGAGGAGAGCAATTATGGACTGCAGACTCGTTGTACAAATTAGACTCACCCGATCCCGGCCCGACCCTACTTTTTACATAATTGACGGGGAAAAGGATAGTGTAGCTTTCTGCATGCTGCCCTTCATCCAAACACCTTTCACACGCTGTGGATTGTTCTTAATTTCTATGTTACCGATGATGTTTTATACCTTATTACTTTAGTTATAATTTCGTACAAATAGTTATTAATCATTCATTTAAATCCAAGTTTTTTGCTTAAATTTTTTGCCTGTGAGTATATGCAAAAAGCAGGGTCAGATCATTTAAGGTCATCTGTCAAACCAAAGACACATAAGAGACGTTCTTACTTCCGAGTTCGTGGGAAAGGGGCCGTGTGAGATTCAAATTCAAACGTGTCCCTATGTGTGTCTTTGGTTGAATGGATGACGTAGAATGATTATGAAACTAAAGATTTATCCCATAGGAAACAGGGCATGAGGGAAAGTAATAACACAAAACAGTACTAGTCAACACTTCTGCTTTAATTTTCGTACAAATAGTCAACACTCTGCAGTCGCATCTCAACATATGGTTAAGGTGCTAATTAATTTAAGCTAAAAGCAGAGGTTGCATATTTAGAATTTAAGAAAATTAAAGCTTGTAAATAACATAGGATCAACCGCCAACATTAATAGACTCATTGATCGATGTATAATCTTTTGAGTCCTTTGTTTTATTTAATTAAAATTAGCAGTGGGATCCCCTCCTGCAGTTAAGGGCACCGGCGGCGGTGGTGATGGAACCCACAAGAGAAGAAGGCCTTGCACTGAGGCTGGAAGCCCTGGCATAGGTTGAAGAGGCTCCTGCTCCTGATTGCCTGAAAAACGCCCCGTTCAACAGCATATCCCCCTCTGACCTCCAGTTCCACTTCCTCCACTCACTTTCTGGTGCATCCTCATGTTTTGTCACCTGCGTTCATCACATATTATATTAATATTTTCCATGCATCGATAACTAACTAGCGCGCTCCTCATATTTACATACGTACGATGAATTGTGGTGAGTAGTAACTGTAGTAAAAATAGCACTATTCATAGTTAGTAGTTGTTAATTTAGGAAATGCAATTGTACCTCTTTATCAAAACGTCTATCTGGTGCAAGAAACCTATTGCCTTGGCTGAGGATAGTTGGGGAAGCACTCCCTCCTATTGCGTACATTTCCCAGTGTGTGTAGTCATTGTTTACCACATGAAAATATCCATGTCTACACCTGCAATTTTCAGTATGTCTTAGTTTTCATCATTTTGTTTTATATCATTTCACAGGAGTGGAGAATAAAAATTTTATTTTTTTATTTTTTTATTTAAGTTGAGTTTGAAAAAGTTACACATTAAATATAAAGGAAAGTGATTTCGCATGCATATTTTCTCCGTGTACACATTCGTATTTATGTGGTTTTCGAAATCAATGAAAAAAAAAACTGACAAGAATTAAACATGAATGTGTAAAAAATGAAAACGAACGTGGGAAAATCAAGTTCGACACCATACCTTGGCATTCTTTGGACAAGGCCTTCTCCAAAATGATTAAAGGCAACAGTGACTTGCATGTTCTTGTCTTGTGTATACGAATCACTATGTCCCAAAAGCATGACCTTATCATGATGAGTCATGTAGTTATTCGATATGGTGATGGCCGTGGATCCATGTATGGCATCAATGAGTCCATCATGGCAATTCGACAGCGAGCAATGGTCCACCCATATATGCTGCCCATTAAAAATGGATATACCGTCGCCGTCCGACACCGTCCACCACCCCGAGTGCTCCGGCGAGTTTCTTATGTTCCCATTACCCGCCGGTTTGCAGTCGTGTATGTGGATGCCATGGATGATGATGTTGGTAGCGTAATGTATGGTGATGCATGGCCCTCCAGCAATGTGGACGCTCGCACCTCTGCCGTCGATGGTCTTGAACGAGTTCATAACTAGCTCTTGTTTTAGCTGAACCACCATGTCCCTTTTGAATATGATCCACAACGGCTCGTCCTGGATCACTGCGTGTCTTAGGGTCCCTGGCTTAGGGTTTACTGGGTCGTCATCGCCGGAGTCGGTGACGACGTAGATTCGACCGTTTCTTCCTCCGATGGCGTCTTTGCCGAAGCCAATGGCACAGTCAGCAAAGCGCTGGCGGTTTCTTTCCCAGTTGGGATCACACCTCCAGCAATCATCAATTGGGTTGCCAGTTCCACAAGACAAGTAGGCCAAGTTCCTCCTCGAGGCATTGATGCTCCTATATATATACACACACACACACAACAATACAAAACATTAATTTATGTACTTGCATAAATATAAATCAACGAATTAAGCATATAGATAATTAATTAAAAGGTAAGGAAACGTGTGTATCATTTACCTATGGACCTCCTCTACTACTCGTTCAGGGTCTTGAACTTGTGAAGAGGAAACAAAAGTTGCACTTAAAGAAGTTATGAGAAAAATTGTAAGCAAAAGTGAGAGCTGAGCCATTTTTTCCTGCAGCTCTCACTTGATTAGCAGGGAGAGAGAAAGAGGTAAAAGTGAAGTTTAAGGGGATCGAGGTGGTGGTGTGATGGGCAATGGATGAGAGCTGAGTGGGTTTATAACGGAGTAAAAGCCGAGAGTGATGGCGTGATTAATATAAGAATGTGGGTCCTCCTGATCGTAATTTCAGGTTGCTTATCTGTTCGTTGTAAACCGTTAATAAGGGAACCCTGGATGTTTCAAACCGACCAAGTCAAATTGTTGACTTTTGTTTGTCAATATATTCCAGAGACGCACAAAAAATAACTGCCCCCGTTTTATGATTCTTTACTTTTATTTCCTTCTGTTTCACCATTGGTAGATCATCATGAAAATGATACATATCGATGATTATTTTATGTGATGTCATTAATTATTAGTGAACTATGGGGGATCAGGCATGAACTATGATAAGACTACTGATTAATTAATCCTATTGTTCGTTAATCTTACTATATATTTAGAGCTAATTAAGAAAATTTATGAACCAACTAAACTTAAAAAAAAAAAATTGTGTGTACTCACATTATGTTTTAGTCCACGTAAGTGTTATAATATGAGTGAGTTATAGAGTTAATAAAAACACTACTACATTATAATGTTCAAGCGCAATAGGAAGTCTCTCAACCATAGAACTAGGACTTGATCAGATTAATGCAGGGATTAGAAAATGAAGAGCAACGTACATGACCTTATTTGACGTTCTTTCATTAACTTTGGTTTTTTTATTTTATTTTTTTGTTTAAAAATTACTCTCCTTTTTTTTTTTTTTAACAAACGATAGTTTAGTGGGTTAAATTATTAGTTGTTAGGAGGAAAGGGATTGATGGGCTCGAAACTGCACCAAATTGCATAAGCATCATTGCTTCCTGCCATTGCAGCAAAACGTCATCTATAATAAAAGTTAACTTTGGTTTTTGGTGGGTTGGTACGCACAAAGCAAAAGTTGCCTTCATCATTGGCGAAAATAATACGAAATTCCCATCACGTAGATTCAATTACGGGACTGGAGGGAGTAGGAACGGAACACATTTTCTTCCCTCCTACTTACCACATGATGGCAAATTTTGACTATGTATATCCATCCTTCTGGCAAAGAGGAAGAAATGGGAGACGTAAGTCTAATCGAAGTTCATTTTTACGGTAAAAAAATTAAAGAAATCATCTCAAATGTATGATTTTTTCCCCTTTTTCAACGACATATCAAGTGCATGTCTGTTTAGAAAAAATGACATGAATCACGATTTAATTTCATGCAATGCATACCAGCATATGCTTCTTTTCTCCCCTGACTGCGGAACAATATTTTGACCAGCAGAAGTAACTACTGTATAACTATATGTGCTTATCAAGTTTGGTCAATTATTTCAGCCATATACATATGATTCCCCTTGTTAAGGGAATTTGAATCCATAGTGTCCTCGTGTTAACTGTTTTGTAACCACATATTGACTATATAGTACTCTAGAGCCAAATAAAAGTTACAAAACAGTCAATACGAGAACACAACCATATCCCGCTCCATAAGTGATAGAGCGGCCACTGCATGAACAGTAGAGCGTGATAACTGCTGTGAAGCTGCTCTCCGGATTTAGGCTAGTTAAACACTGTGTTTTCCCTTTTTTATTGCTCTTTGATGGAGCTAGTGCGTGTTCACCTGGTTGAAGCATTCCTGAAATCAAGTTCTAATTAATTAAGTTGATACATCAAAGTACTGGAAGGTGATTATGAATTGAACCCTGATGAAATTGGGATTCCACCGTAAAACCAATTGATAATATGAGGAGTAGTCCAATACCATATAAGCATACAGGGGCGGAGCCACCAAGGGACTAGGGTAGTCCTCGGCCCATCCTGACTTCATCTGAGGTGTGAACTTTATGGAAGAAGATGAAGCAAACGACGTCGTTAAGCTGTTTTGATTTTAAATCTTTTCGGCTGTCTAATGAAACGATAAGTTTGGTAGGGGAGTTTTAAAAGAGATGTGCAATTTTAAATGGAAAAAACAACTCCATTTCTGGTTCGATTATGTCACCTAACAATAGTATACACCCTATAATTTTCTAAAGCAACCCACTTTCTTTATTTGCAGACCTCTCCCCCTTTTCCTTCTTTTTCTACTTCTTTGTATTTTCTTTAGCCTTCCACAACCTACCTCTTACTTGGTTGTTTGGGTTTTTACATTTTTTTCTTCTTAGTATTGAATTTAAGAGAATTTTTTCAGTTTTGTGAGGATTACACAAATTGCATATGTCAACATGTTATGAATTCAACTTTTTACACTCATATATATATATATATAGACACACACATATATTTGTGAAAGGCCCCTCCTCATTCAGAATTCTGGCTTCGCCACTGTAAGCATATAGCAAACCTTGTCTCTCACCGATGTGGGACAACTCTCAACAAAACCAGAAGCTTGAACATATATATGCATGCTTAAAAGCTACATCACTATAGGCAAGGCATGTAAAATAATGCAACAACAATGTGCATGGCTAATGGCTTTATCCTTCATGCAGCCACAGTATATATGGAAGTGTGGTTCAACCATGCATATACATCGATAATCGAACGCTTGAAAGTAATCTAATTTTAACATTTAAATCAACTATGGAGAATCGATTTTTAAAATAGAATGTACCTCAACCTAGTTTCGGTTTTTGGCGTCAACCAGTTTCTAATGTGGTGATTTTAGAGCGCGTCCAACTCCTGGCCAACCATGAACTGCTCCAAGAGGGTTGGAACCACGATTTGAGATGAGTCTAATGTACAAGTATTTGAATTCATTTGTTTGGATAAGCTCTATATCATTGTTTGTTCGAGTGTTCAAACTTGAAATATAAGAGATTTTGCACTGAAAAATACAATTTGTAGAATATAAGCAAGATAATTTTGTAGAATATATTGTAGCACATGTCATAGAAGATGTAGTTCATTGGGTATTACTATTACGTATACTTCATATTGCTTTTTGTTTCTTTCGCTTTAAGGGTTGTTTCTACACTCATTTTCCACTCAGAAGTCTTTACTCGGTTTGAACTTGGTGATGGCTTTGATGGCTTTAAACTGATATGGTCATGACACTTTGTTCGTCACTGCATGTTTAATTTATGCGAGCACTCCTGCTTCTTACTCAGAAAGATCCCCTTCAAGGTTCTATATTTCTTTCTCAAATTAAATTTCACACCACTTGATTACTTCAAGTTTGTCATAGCTACTTTATTTTAGCAATATTTGTGGAAATCCAACTTTAAACGCATCCTAATTAATCTCAACAGATAAACCAACTAGATCATACCACCTTGCCGTGATATAATTCAAGTTTGTCAATTGCCCAACATAACAAATCAACTAATGATCAAGAAGTAACTAAAAGAAGGGAAATTAATAGAAATTTAACCCAATTCATGGACTACTTGGCCAGTGGATTCTCACTTACTTAAATCCAAGCAATAACGAATTTTAATCTAATCTAAATTTAAGAGAGAAAATCAATTTGAATACAAAGAGAATTACACATTTGCTCTAACTAACATGTTTATGTGAGAATGTAAAGGTAAAAGAATCTCACATCAGTGAAAAGAGAAACATTGCAAGGGCTTATAACTTATAAGAGGTTAGGCTACTCAACTTCTTCATAGCATTTTGTTCAAAAAAAAAAAAAAAATCCTCATGGCTTTAAAATAGGTTGGCTCATTTGTGAAGTCTAACGACCACATGTGCTCCATGTCATCAATTCGTTTTGTCCACGTGTTTGGTTTGAAAATTCTCCACATGTGAGGAGGTGTGTGAGGATGTGAAACTCCCTGTATTATAGGTTAGATTACTTCCTATATTCAAATTATTTTTAGAGAGTTTTAACGAAAAGCTCGCAGTATTGTTCACTTTAACGAAAAACCATATTTTTATACTAAAAAGTCAAATCTGATACTATTTATTTTACCCTTTATTTTGTTTTTATTGTTAAAACTCAGTTTTCAAGTCATTTTTATTAGTTTTCTTTTATTTTTATGGTATAACTTCAAATTCTTCAGTTTAAATGTAAGAAATATGACGATTAACATATTTGAGTTAGATAAAAAAGCCCAGTTTTGTTAAACCACAAGCCCAAACAAAAGTACCATACTGGGAATCCCATTCCCACCGACACTGTCCGGACGATCCAATCAGCAGCGTTCAATTTGGTAATATCGAGAAACGGAATCGTACGTGGGTTTTGGATTGTGATGGTGATGTGATATCTCTTGTTGTGAAAATTCGGTGCAAAAGCTTTTTAAGAGGCAACTAAATTTCACGATTAAGTCACATTAATATTTTGATAAAATCTTATTCATTTTTAGAAGCTTCAAAGCTCGAATTTAGCACTTTCTCGTGTTATGCCAAACAAGCAGAGGAAAACGTATGGAAGTTCATACCTATAAAGATGATGGATATATTAGCAAGGGCTTAAATGAAATCGATCTTTGGAGTTGGAGATAGCAGATGCCAGAAGGCACAACTATCCCATGAGTACCAGACTATGGCATTGATCAAAGGCACATGAAAGAGCCTAGCAACTAGCAAGACCACTACATAGTGCCCCATTGAATCCAATATGGTATCATGGATAGCATTTAGTCCCCATCTATCAATCTTGCATTGGAAACAAATTTTAATATGACCCCGAAATTATTCGTCAGTTAGTTTTATTAATTCATGTGCTATAATATAAGTCTACGATATGAAAACATTTCAATAGAGCAACTTGATCACGTTAGTTTTATACGTCTAACCCAATCGCTGGACATATTACTTGGCTTGTGAGAGTTGCCCTACAAAGGAAGAAATTGTAAGAAATGGTGATCCGTAAGTGTCCTTATCTCACAATTTGGTGGACCAACATGTTGGTCTCGATGATATCTAATATAGGATACCCAATGTTAGGTGTGTAGTCATATATGTGACGTGATCTGTTTATCTGTATATTGAATTTTTTTGTTACATATGATGTAATTAAGTTGACTTATTAAAGATTTTCTTATACGAAAGTGTTGACATGTCACGTACCGAAAAACTTGTAACACTTCGTAACGGTGTAACTGTAAAAGTGAAAAATTACTATTTACACATACTGGGGCAAAATTTGACACAACCATACCCATCATCATTGAATTATCAAAGTTCACTCATCATCCCTTCATCTACCACAGCAAAACGAAATCTGGATAACAAGGCACAATCCACCCCTCCACCCAATCACCACCTCCCACGTGTCATAATGCAAATGCATCACCATCATCATCATCTCTACGAGACTGATGATCAATAGTACCTTTTCCCAGCGAGTCAAAACCTGCGGTCTTCTGCTTCCTAAATCCTCTGCCTATCCCCAAAATACACTTTCCCATTTATTTTGCTCACCTTGTCTCCATTAATTTAGTCAAATTTTTATCAGTGAACAGAGAAAGCAAGAGACTTGAGAGAGAGATGTGCAACAAGAAGAATCTTCCTGGTCACGACGATCATGTGCAGAGGAGCTCCATGATTGATGATATGATCAAGGAGAAGGAAGAAGAAGAAGAAGATGAATTGATCAAACATTTAGCAGCTCGGAAATCCAGAACAAAAATCAGAAAACCCAAGTTTTTAAGTCTCCGATCCCAGCTCATGTCCGAAGATAGCGGCCAAAGTTACAGAGTACCCAACAAAATCACATCAACGACGGCCAAGGCCCGCCACCGCCACCGCCACCGCCGCAGCCCTCAGCTCAACCTCTTCCCACTGCACCCGGAAACTCGGGTCAATAATGATTTTGAAGATAAAGGGTACATGCAGCAGGACGAGAACGTGGCCTTGTTGTTCGAGTCCGATGGCGGCGCCACTCTCAACGGCCTCCTAACCTCCACAACCACCACAGCCACCGCCACGACGTCGACAATCTCATCCGATCTGGAGGAAGCAGAGTCCTTTTCCTACTACAAGGGACGGGAGGAGTACAGGGAAGAGACAGAGTGTGACATTGTACGGACGGCGATGAGGAGCAGAGAGCGGGAGACGAGCGTGGAGAAGTGGGTGTGTTTCTCGGAGTTGGTGGAGGGAAAGAGGGAGGAGGACTGCTTGACTAGTCCGACGACCAGTACTACTGGTACACACGGCGGCGATGACGGTTGGAATGTCGGTCATCGACGGCGGAGCAGCGGCGGAAAGGGGTTGTCGTTGGCGTTGAAGCTGGATTATGAGGAGATATTGAATGTTTGGTCCGACAAGGGACCACTCTACATTGATGGAGGAGATTCCCCACAAACTGTACCTGACTTACTGCACCAGCAGGATCATCAGCTTTTTCACCTCCATGAGAACGGCAGTACTCCAAATGTAAGAAAATTGTTTAACTTCTTGCTCTTTTGTTGATTAATGCATTGGCCTTGTTTATCGTTGCAAATGTCATAATCAGAATCGTTATTTGTTTTTTTAGACGAAACGATAGTGATAAACAATTATTTTTTAATTATCAAGTAAATATCTTATAAGTGAATAATCAATTATGTTGGCGGACGTCTCGTGAGCCCATAGGTACAGAAGAAATCAACGGTTTTGACAATCATTATTATTCTTATGATAAACTAGTATAGGGATGTATTCAATTGAGATTTTAAAATATTTTAATTCTTTTAATGAATTTAGGGGTATTCAATTATAATTTTAAGTGATTCTCTCAAATTCAACCCGTATTCAATTAGGATTTTGAGATAATTTATTAAATCCCTTAGAAATCTGGATGTATTCAATTAAAATTTTAACAAAGTTTATAACATTACAGGTTTATTCAATTAGAAATCGATTCTAAAGAATTTGTAAATGTTGAGGAATTAAAGGGAATTTGAAAGATTTCATAGTGTATTTTAAGCATCCACAAATCTCACATCTTCCCTTATGAGATTTTGAGGGAATTGAATCATAATTTTATATGAAATCTCTACAAATCAATAAAACTCTATAAAAATCCTTAGATTTATAAATAAATCTCTTAAATTTCCAATTGAATACACCATAATTTATTTGATAAATGTAATTGATTAAATGATTGCCCATTCATTGTTAGTTGAGAAATCTGAAATGATGACTAAACATTTTAATAATATTTGTATGATTAATCAAAATTAGGTGAATAAGGAGGTGAACTGTAAAATGGAATTGAGATCGTCTCTCGATCTCTGTTCCTGAAGTCGATGGATTTAAAGATTTGGACTATTCATTTTAAATTTGTGGTTCTCATTAATCCATTCTACTAGCTCACCTTACATAAATCAAGGATTTAGATTGATTTCTCTCTTTTCAACAGCTTTAATCTCCGGGTCCTTAGACTGCGGATACAAAGATGTTTCATTTGAACTATGAATCTTGGGTGCTTTTAAATGGAATTTTGTTTCATCATAATTTAGTGTTTGATATTGTTGTGGAATTGGGACACTTGTTTCTTACTTGGTTTTGTTGGTGTTAGGAAAGGAATCAATTATATTTTAACCTAAGGCCCTACTACTTTCTGCATTTTAATTTGGACCCCATTGCCCATTTACCCCATTGGGGCTATGGGACAGTGTCCCAACAATTTGTTCTGAGAAAAGATTACACATGGGTTGTGCTATCATGCTCACCCATTTTTTATTTTCCACATACCTCGCTTAATCTCCAGTTGTCAACTTGAATGAATTAAAAAAAATCAAATAATAGAAATTAAAAGGGTGTGTGTGAGGTAAAAATGAGTATGTTATAGCACCACCCTTACTCATTAATTTTCTGCTCTTACACATTTATGTCAATTTTTAGTTTTTATTGAAAAAATCATAGATGAATCATTGAACAGATATAAACAAGGTGAGTAGAAAACAACAAAAAAAGATTATGCAGATATCATTTTCTCTGTTATTCTTGAAGTTTTATTGACATTTCAAAAAAGAGTCATCGTGTCATCCTATTATGTAAAAATATAAGTAAATTGCGTTACAACAAGTGCAGAACAATTTTAGAGTAATCTCCCAAAAACATTACATTATCTTGGTCACAAATTAAATGTTTGTTTTTGATCAATTTACAAATTCGATGTTGAAGTTCCATTTGTTTGGTTGTAACTTGAAATGGATGGGACTTTGTTTAGGGTTCCGGTGGGAACTTATGGAGGGTTCCGGAAGAGGACGGCAGCTTGAAAATGAAAATGGAGCAAAGAGAGACCAGTATTTTGAGGTATAAGGAAAAGAGGCGTAACCGGCTCTACTCGAAGCAGATCCGGTACCAAGTCCGAAAACTCAATGCCGAAAACCGACCCCGAATGAAGGTACTCTTCATCTCTCATTAAAACCTAGTGTCTTAAATATGTATTGAAACTAATTAAGATGACTAATTTTCGTGTTATTCGTTCCATATATGTACGTTACAGGGTCGATTCGTGAAGAGAAGTTGAATTAACATGCGTTTTAAACGTCTGGTTTCGATCTGACATGCATCCGGATGTTTGGTGTTCTGAGTTAGATGTCTAGTGCATCCGGATGTTTTTGTTAGTTTCCCTAATTTCTTTCCTGCTTTGCTTGTCCATCAAGTTACTGGGAAGAGGGAACATGATAAGTAGTATATGCTTTTTTGCATAAAAATATATGCACAATCATACACAAAAAGATGATACATATGTGAGAATCAATTACAATGTGACATTAATTAACGTGTATATATATTGGACAATTTTATGTAGCTATGGTTCATTTCATAGTAGGGTTTTCGTTTTATTGTAGAAAAATGGAATTATATTGGAGAAAGTTCAGGTTCTACTATAAATCCAATTAGCAATATGGGAAGTAACCCAACCTTTTATAAGCCCTTACAAAGTTTCTCTTTTCACTGATGTGAGATTCTATTACCTTCATAATCCTCACAGAACGACTCTTGCAAGAACCATGTATTTACCGTATATAGGATCTTCGTGTTCTAAGCCAAAAAGGGGTGAAACAGTGAACTGTATAAGACGTCCTTTATACTAAATACATTGTCTCTGTCCCATTTTTTCTCTGTAGAATGGCCAGGATACCTGCTATGAGGCTACTCTCATTTATCTCTATCTGTATTTATGTATAACTAATTTATACAGTAACAGAAAAAGCAGGATTATCCTACTTCCAAGCAGAAACTATCAAACTGTATAAATATGATCGATATGGGGGTGCCTTACCTTAATTGGTTTGGATATTTATAAGTAAGATGGATCAAGAACAGTAATGTAGAATTTCATCAGCAGAAAGTGGAAGATCATAAGTTGACAGAAGAAAAGAGAGTACAAAACTGCGCATACATATGAGCGTTTTCTTGGATATGTTCATTTGTGCTCTCTCTCCTCTGTCTCAAAAACATCGACCATTTTTGCTTGGATCTAGCTAGCTCAAGTGAAACATATTGATCAATCACTCACCTAGCAAAATGCATCTCCAATAGTACTACAATGCCTTTTCCTCACTACTTTGGATCAATCGTGTGCAACCACCGCTTTTTAGAGTCACCCCAAACATGGATTGGGACAGTTGGCTCATGAAGCATGTGCGTTTCCTTGTCTTAAGTTCGAATTTCTCTTTGTAAATCAGAGTAATTTAGAATGTTGTCTTGTAACCACTTAATATTATGTTTTAATGATATTCATCTTCACTTGTAAGTAAAAAGTTTTAAATTGGAATATCATGAATCGCTAATTAAAAAACTAATTTATTTCTTCACTCCTTAGTGTAATAATATATTTGTATCAAAGAAAAAAAGAAGATACCTTCTTGTTAGGCAAATGTCTTCCTCAAAATGTAACTGATGGGCCATCTCTTGTTTTCAAGCCTATATGATTTCATTGCAGCCCAACATTTAGAAAGTAACGTTAATGCCGAAAGAATGTTCAAGCAATTCCCCTACCCATAGAGAACATCGTAGAACATGTTATCTTTAATAAAATCATAATTTAAGATTAATACTATTAGTTATATATAAATCTCACCCACAACCAAATCAATCAGTAACACTAGCTAACTAATTTCTTCCTAATCATCGATCTTAGCCTTTGCTAATACCTACAAAAATGTCACTCATTTCCCAAGTGAGGCGATGGAATATTAAATCCCTTTCTTTCCTTGATCAACCAGTGTCTTGTCCTCAACACCCCAACGGACTGGAAGGAAACCCTAGACTCCCATGTGTTTGTTTTTGAACTTTAGGGTGACGCAATGTATATTGAAAGGAAATCGAACAATAACCCTAAGCTAGAATCCACTAGTAAACCCTAGAATCACTAAGAAGAATTGAGAGAAAACTTAAGTTGTATTGATAAAATAGTCAAAAGATCAAAATTTTAACACCTAAGAGGTGTATTTAATACGTTCAAATGCAAAACCAAACCCTAGAAGATCTTAACGATCAAATAGGAAATAAATAAATAGTAAACAAAGCTCCATAAACATCCCTAAAACTTTAAACAGTATTTTGGGATAGCAAAAACTTCATTACGTCGTTCTCTTCGAAATGATATATTACATGCCTAATTCTGACACCGATAATTAGATTTGGATGTTGGGAACCTTGCAGTCACTTTTGAGAACCGAGGGGTCAAGGCGGAGGCTGCTGATGGAAGAATGCTCCAAATAAATAGGGAGCGGAATGAAGAAGAAAAAGATGAGAAGAATAATGATCGTAAAGATAGGTTTCACTGTGTCGAACGTTTCCGGGGCAAGTTTCTTAGGAGGTTCCGGCTGCCGGAAAATGCCAAGACCAATGAGGTTAAGGCATCTATGGAGAATGGGGTGCGTACGGTTACTATTCCCAAGCATGAGGTCAAAAACCTCCAACGAACGTTATTCAGATTAAAGGAAATTAAGTAAAAGAGTTTCACAAATAATTATGTGAAAATGTGATTAAAAAAGTTACATGTCATGCATGGTTTTCTTGTTTTTATTTACGGTTGAACTATAGTGTAAATAGAGGAATCTTACTATTTTAGTGAACTTGGCTACGTCTAGGTTTGCATATCATGTACGTTTTTTTTTAATAAAATGTGATTGTGCATGTTTAATTGTTGTGTTATATTAAGTATAAATCAAACTTTTGACTCAATTATTCAGGGTTTATGTTTCTGGTTGAATAAAAGCATTGGGACATGAATGGAGCAACCCAAACGGGATTTCTCTAAACAATAATCCCATCTGAAAGGAGGTAAACAAAAGGTTTAAAATTCAAATACAATATTGAAGAAGTTTAGTTTAGAAAATAATTGTGCTTTCGCTGCCGGCCACTTGCCAAAAGCCAAAAGCCAAAAGCCAAAAGCCAAAAGCTTATGAAGTTCTTCCCTAGCTATGCGGTTCGCACAAAAGGAATGTCTTTTTAGAATTGGCCTTGCGACCGTCGCAGTGGCATGGGACCAGTTAGTTGCCCTGCATTTTGTTAATTGAACTTTAAGGGCATTGTACTGATCAGCACTCTCTTATTTAATCTGTAATTAACCTCCACTTAAGTACTTAAGCATCCATGCTTTTGAGACATTAAACTGAACTAACTTTGAGCTCAACCAAACCAATACACACTAATTAAGTATGTAGATAGATAAGATGCCAGCTTTCACTTTTTAGTTGCAATTAAATATCTCAATTTGTGGGGGGAGACTTGTAATAAAAAAGATATTGGCACTTTGGCGTTCCAAACTCATCGATTGTTGCTACACCCTTTAACTTTATTGCATGACAATGTATGATAGGTTTGAGATTTTATAAGTGTATTCTAATTTTATGCAAATCGTTTGCTGATTCAAAAATATTATTCATACTACATTTGTACCACCTCTATAATTGAGGTAAGACCCACGTGTATTGATGAACACTATTTCTATTAGAGAATTGATACAAATATGATAATTATAGCAGTATTCTCTATAATTTTAAAAGTAATCACTAGATTAACAAATGAACCACATCATCCATCCAACTACACTCACAAAGAGCATAACTCTCCCCAATATTAAAGTCAGACAGGTAACGTGATCAATCAAGCGGACCCAAAAATTTCTCTACTTTTAGAAGCACTTTTTAGCTTAGTTTTAGCTTTAGTACTTTTTTACACTGCACAATTTTTTTACCCCGGCGTGCACGCGTGGGTGAATATACAATGCAATTGAAAGTCGAAACATAGAAAGCATCACAATTTTGAAACCTTTAGTCGTCCTTTGCCAAATCCAAATGGACCAATATTCCACATTTTACAATGAGTAAAAGAAAGAAAATGGAATCAACATTTCTGTTTTTATAAACATAGCAGAGTTTATGCCATCAGTCATTACAAAGCTTACAAGGATCAGCATTTCAGTGGCTTACAATTTTTAGTTGCAGAAAGCCCCAACCGACACAAAATGTTACATAAAATTAAAGTCCCTAGCTATTATCTCATAACATAATTTAGCTAGCCAAGTCATGAGACGGAGAAAAACTTTAGAATGATCATCGATCACGTCATTCATAGGACACATCTTATAAAAACATGAGACATCTTTATATTTTAGTCACGTTAATTAAGTGTGCATCTGCCCTGATCCGACAACCCTATCAAACATTTTTCTCCATCAGAGGAAGGCATATTACACTTTTTTGGTTAGTAATGAACAGAGATTAACTAAAGATAATCTCATGATTCTCAATTTCTCAAACACGAATCGAACGACAAGTCGAAGGAGTTCCAATTCCATGAAGAAGCTTCATTTCCTTGATAGCTGGATCTTGAAGCAGAAGCACTTTCTCCTTGTCTCTAACTCCAACCATGTGTAAATATTCACCATCCTCTCTTTGTTTTCCTTTGTAAAGAAGCCTTTGCTCTCTTGCCTCCATACCAGTCACCAGCGACAGTATCATCTTTAATTCGCCTGCAGAGAACAAATGAATCAAAACCAAGATTAGCACTTGATTATTTGATTTTCTAGCTCATAAATAAATTAAGAGAAGAACATTCCAAGTGATGCCATTATAACGGTATCTTCAGTCAACCACGCATTGCTATGTGAGAAATTTAAAATATATGACAGTGTGTGATTCATTAAGGCTACCACTACAATGACATTTCCATTAGGTGAGTTTCGCTAAACAAGGAGAGAGAAGGCTTAATTACCAAATGTGGAAGTGGCTTCAATGGAGATGTCATGGAAATGAGACACAGTTGACACTCGAACCGTGATCATGCCTTCTCCGGCACTGCTTTCGGCCGCTGTCTCCCTTGTCTGAACAAGCATGCCTCCCGGCCGACGCTCCCATTTGATTTCACCATTGTTATTAATATTCCCTCCTCCAAACTCCTTTTGATCAGCAGCTTTACTCTTGCTTTTACTACTGCTGCTGCTGATGAGCTTGCAACTGCTAAAGCTTCTGCAAAACCTGTTTGACCTCAACTTAATCATCTTTCAAATTTTCTATGCTTTTTTCCACAAGCACTTTTTTTGTGCTTTTTTCTCTCAACTACCCAAACTGCTCAGGAGAAATGAGAGGAAATGGGGAGTTCAGAGTGTTGGAGTTGGCAGCTTAATATAAGCAATAACTAGGCAAATTCACATTATATTAACTAGGGCAAAATATAATAAGGACATCAGTTAAATACAAGCCGCCCGAAGGAGTGTTGCAAAAAGTAGTGGTTGGCCAATGAGAGGATGCCACAAGAGGGACAATATGGGCGTGGTTTCTCTCTGCTTATTTTATGGAAGGCCAAGTGCACATGGGGTGGGTGCTTAGGAACACGGTTGCATGATTGGCGGCCCAAGCACATACTCAATTGCTCAATCAGTTTGTCTTTGAAAAAATATATGTATGATCCTTTGGTGATTTAGCAATAATTCTTGTGTATTTTTGGAGAACCTAAACGGTGTGTGGGAGATTTTATTAGAAATGATATACTAAAATATAGTAGGGTTCTATAATTTTGATCATGATTCATAGAAAGTGCTACGAATTATGGTATGAGTATATAAAATTTCATTTCTATGAAAAAAGAGAGTATATAATCGTTTGATCTTGTTCTTAGAAGAGTTCCTCTACATAATTGAAAGCAGAAGAGCCTATCGAGTAAACACTTTCAGACGGGCCCTAGCTAATTAAGTTCGTCATTTATTTAGAGCTATATATGACCTGAGTTAAGAATCAGTATCCAATATACGATTTAGCATGTTAAGAGCCTAAATCTCTTTAAAAATGAAAAATAGATCTCAAATTAATGTGGCGTATGGAATATGTTCAATTAAATTGAAAATGAGTAAAGCTAGCTTTTTTGTCTTCATCCGTAATTTGTGATTTTGTTAGGTTTATATGTTTATCAGTTAGGTGGGTGCTTAAGATTTCCTTTGGGTTTACTTTTTCTTCTGGGTGGTTGGCTAATCTCTCTAGGGCATCAAACCACATGGAAGGGAGCCTATACAATAATTATATTCTATCTCCTCTTTCCTGAGAGATTAATAAGCATGTCTGGAATATGATCCGATATATTAAGTATCATAATACAAGTAGTTGAATACTTGAAGTTATCTTTTCAACCACTTATATTAAGACAATTGATATACCTAAGTCATGTTTCCATCGAACTAAAAAATTCCCCTCTTTCTTTCAACCATGTCCAAATGTGTTGAACATTGAATACTTCCTCGTCCAATTCATAATATAATGCTAACCATAATTTGTTTAATCGTCCTAAATTAAAGGATAAGTAGCCGTAATCAAAAGCAGATTCACTAATTAAATCATGGAGTCGATAACTTATTCCGTTAGCCTGTAAGCCAACTGTTAATTAGCCGCAGCGGTTATGGAGTTGCTAATTAAGCTTATTGTTTTTGGTAATTTGTTAATCATCTTTGATAATGACAATTAAGTTTGTTTTGTGAGCATTCACGAAAGTGACAAATTGATGTCCATACCAGCACATGGTGGACGTCGGATAAGAGAAACAAAGGTTGCATGCACAAGGTTTGACACCCCACAAGTGGATCGTAGAAGAAGAAATATATTACATGAACTCATAGGTTTTGGACTTTAGAGAATTAATCATCACACGATGCATATATACTATGAATTAGAGTTTAAATGGGGCCTCTTCTCTCATACATGCATGTGTAGCAACCTAGTATGGGCTACAAGGCACCGTTTCAAGCGAATCATTTGGTCATTACTTGTATCTTTGCTTTTTTTAAATGTCCAATCTTAATAATCAGACTGTCACATTGTCATGTTGTGTTACTATACCTAGTTTACTCACTAATGTTAGAACACGAATTTTATTTGAAATATGAATTAGTAATGCCATGTGGTTGTATTCTTTTCTTTTTCACATGGTATAGTCTAATGTATTCAATTTTCATTTAAAATAGTGAACTGAGTAAGCTACACTTACCACATTTTTTATACTACCTTTGCACCACTTCTATACTACATATGAGAATGAGATCCACATGTGTTAGGATGAACTCTATCTATGTGAAAGAGCCAGTACAAATGTGGTAATAAAAAAATATGATATATGCTAATCAGAGTGATTTAACAAACAATCATATATTCCTTAAAAGTACGTATCGAAATGATAGAGATTTTGAAAGATTATATACCCTTAATTATATGATAAAGTGCTGTGAAGATCGATCGATCGAGCAAGCTATATGCATGCCCATGCAAAACTACAAAAAGTGATAATGAAAAATCAAGCATGTAACACAACATTGAGCACAAGATTGATTCTTTCACGCACCCCATCATATTTGCTTCTTGTTTGGCATGCCAATGTGGGAAGAATATATCATATAGCTAGCTAACAGATTTTATGCGCATTAAATTAATTATTGAGTTTCTTTCTCCCCGGCTTCCAAGCATACGAGAGATTTTTCAGTTTATTAAAAACATAGCCCGTTACACAAATCAAATGCCATAAAACAAATACAAGTTGTTGGACACCTGAACAAGTAAGCTTCTTCTCAATTATTTTATAACACTTGATGTATATAACCGTATTATTAATACACTAAAAAATCTCTCCATGCTTGAGTTGCTTGCTATTTATAATATTTAGTTTTCCAACCATTGTCAAACAATCACACTGACACCACCCTTCTTGTTCTTGCATTATTAACATATTTTAACAGTAAAAAAAAAAGGTGTAATTATTTTATTAGGAACATATCCACATTATTAAATCCTATTTTATTTTGCTTCCCATGAATAATAACCTCAACTAGTCTTATTTTTCTTGGTAAAAGTATTAAAAGAAAATTTTGGAAGAATATAATTAAAAAGTATATAAAAGAAAGAAGAGAAAAAAAAATCGAATCATAAGTGTAAGCATAAACTCTAACAGTTCATCAATCTAAAGAACATGGATACAACCAATTAAATCACAACTCCACTAAACCAATAGATGAACAAAAATACGAGAAAAGCTCGAGAACTTACCTGCAGAATTGGAACCAGATGAAGAAGCCATTGCGACTTCACAGCTTACTGCCTTCTCCTCTTTTACAAATCTCAATGGTTCTTCCAGACAATAGGACTTGGAACTCTATATAACCGTATATTGCAAGAGCAGTGGCATAAGCTTTTATAGCACTCCTTTTGTCATTCCCTATTAGAATAGACTTAGGATTCAAACATCACAATTGATACAACATATCAATCCCAAACACGTTCTATTACCGAGTTCTAATCCCACAAGGATTATTCAGAATCTCACAAAACTTATTCCACAAGGAAACCAAATAAGTTAAGGCTTTTGACCAAGACTTTTCCAAATCAATCTTAAACACAAGAATGGATTCCTTCCATAACTCATACTCATAAACTTACATTCTCCCACTTGAGTATGAACATGCAAAACCAGTCTTTTAAGATTTATAGAAATGATCACCAAGTCCAAAATCAACAAGCTCACAATCACACACCAAAATACATTTCAAAATATGGAATTCAAGAATCTAATCTGTACAACACAGAATCGATCCAACAATCACAGCATATCTAATCTATACATTCATGTGAAACAATGTTAGAGTAATACCAAAACATTACTCCCACTGATATTAGCCAACTTCATAACAGAATACTAATTATCAGAACACATTTATCAAACTCAATAGTATAATAACAGTTTATAAAGAATGCTCCAGCAAAATCCAAAATGATCTTCTTAGCAATCTCAACTATTATTAGATAAACTTGTCTTCTGGATCAATTAATCACATAATTGGAAAAATTGAACACCAAAATAAACTACCAACTAGATAAGCATAACTAAGCCAACTAGACTACTGTAGTTCTGGGAATCTTCAAGCTCATCGTTGCCATGTTCTAACTGAACAAAAGCAACTATCTTCAAGCCCTTAAATAGTACACTCCCACTTATCTAGGCCATACTTAACACAACCAAGTTAAGTACAAGTTAATAGCAACTATATTAACTAAAAATCATTCCAATACAATGAATGACTAATCAGAATCCATATGGAAACCAAATCTGTTTCCTTTTGAATGCTAACATCATAGGATCCTTCTCATTACTTAAACAAATTAAGTAACACAAATAATTCAACCAATAGCTTCAATAAAACCATAAACTGGTTTTTAAGCATCCAAATGAATTATTATGGTCGGCCTAAATACTCTTAGCCTTATGCTTACATTCGAACATATGATTCTCCCACTTAAGCATAAGCAGAATGTACTGCACAACCGATAAAGAAACCGGAGATATGAACCAATTGGTTCCCGATTCCTCCCCAATTGCATAATCTCAGTTTAGTCATAAATACCTAAACCATTATGCAAACAGTCTATGTATCAAAAGATAGTCACAATCCATTTGGAAAAACTTATCTCACATAAACCCAAAATCACCAGTTTCAACAATGATCAAAATCAGAATAGCAAACACAATATTTTTGCATTCAATTTGATCCTAACTAGTTCAATATCCATCGAGCAAAATCAACCAAATTTGATAATGCCTAGATATATATCACAACAATATGTCTTGATTAAAACGAGTTAATCAAGACCACTATTTCTTCCTCCCTATTTGTGATTTCAACCAAAACATAATAGCGGAAACATGCATCATAAATGAAATCACAAATATACATATGCAATAAGCATGCATCTTAAACTCCATGATTTTCACAATACAATAAGGGGTGTGATATCCACACACCCCATTTTACTTCTCACACACCCTTCTAATTTTCGACCATCGGATCGGATAAATTGAAGAAGATCAACGGATAGAAATTAACAAGGGTGTGTGAGAAGTAATTTGGGGTGTGTGGATAGCACACCCCTACAATAAGCACAGGCTTCCTTATGAATTCATAAGTTAAATCAATATGCATTCGGCAATGTCAATTTGTGTTGTACAAAAATATAGACAACGTCTCACATAAGCTAATTTGTTTATCATCCTTGTATATGGATGACACAAGCTAATTCTCAAAATTCATAGCTTGACCTATATAATCATACAAGTAAATTTTTAAGGCTAAGATCAATTATCGCCACAAAATCTAATTTGAGTCAACTAATGAAAATAAGATCATTACAAAATAAAACCCAAATTCAATGTACATATTCAATTAGCAAGAAATTCCCTACATGATACTCGAACCAAAAATAATGCATTTAGTTTATGTATCATAAATAGGAACAATGTCATCCACAAATTCCATTAGTTTAATATTTAGAACCACTTAGTCATTAAGCATATATACTTGCCAACATTCATTTAGACAATACCAATTTATGGAGTACTCGTGCAGTCAAAATGATTCCATCCCAATTGATATTCATCATATGTCCCCAACCAAACAAACAAAAGAGAACAATAGGTGTTGTATATGAACAAGTTTTATCCTCCACCAAGACTAATTTAATCAGAACCATAGTCTCTTTAATGAAAAATAAAGAGTATACATAGACTAAATGTTACACTAACTTGTTTATGCAACAAAAAATGATTTCAGACATCCCACATAAATCACAAGTTGGCATCCATAGGGATTTCGAGTTTAATCATGCCCTCACAGTATACAATTATACAGGCATACTCGAAATAGCAAAAGCCCTAATTCATCATGCTCAAACTCATCACACTATAATCATGCATATAAGAGAACAATTAATCATGCATGATACAATGAACTAAGTTACCTGAATGCATCATTGGATCCATATTCGTCAACCCGATTGCAATTCCTCGGCTCCAAATAAATGAAACAAATTATCCATCAATGCTCGAGACCCAACCACGTGGATTGCCATCACTCCAAATTCCCATGGACCTCGTACCATTGTAGATTATCGAAGTGAATTGCCATTATTATAGACGCGCCAATCCAAAATCATCGCCAAAGTTATTAGCCAGAATCTCGTTGGCACCAATTCCCGGAAAAAGACAATTCTCATTCAGATTTCAATAAAACAAGAGAAATAATAGAACAATGAATGAGTTAACGTCAATATGAAGGGCCATAATGATAATATAATCTCAATATGCAGGTAACATGATCTTTGTTCAATGGTTCCGCAGAATTGATTAATGAAATCAAAACTATGAACCCTTTTAAAGATCCCTGATTTCCATCTTTTTCACCACTAAAATTTTAGCCCATTGAATCAATTTAGTTATATACATATCCTTAAATTTAAGGATATACATAGAGTAAACAATTGCAATGATATCCACAAACAACATTAATTGTTCTAACTGCAATACTATTTGTCATACTTATGCAGAATTGGTTAGCACCTATTGTACAACATAAAACGATAAGACAAAACTTATTTGGTTGATTTCTCATTAGTTATACCAGCGGAAGCAATTTGAAACAATTTATGCAACCATTCAACTCAAACTGCATCGGCATCCAAGGTAATCAGAAAAATACATAACAGTTTCAAGTTTTCCTTTTTAGCATGACAGTATGCAAAACAAATTTAAAAATTGAAACCTCGGGTGCGAATTAGATCATAATTCATACCTTTTGATGAATCGTATGAATCATGGCATCAATATTGACTCAAAATTAAGATTTGAATGAGTGATGAAACCCAGACTTCGAAGAAACCGAAAAACCCAGATTTTGCAATCGGTGAATATATATATATATATATATATATATATATTTTTTTTTTTTAAGTATTATACAAAAAAAAAAAAAACACACCGTTTCACTATTCCTTTTCCAACAACTCTTTTATAAACAAAACGACATCGTTTTGAGTTCATATATTTCTTAAGAGTCCTAAGGCTTAGTTCGAAAACCCAGACAGTGCAACTCGTTCCCAGATTCAATGGTTTTCATGAAGAATGAACTTAATGGTTAGAATCCTAGGCTCTGATACCACATGTAAGCATAAACTCTAACAGTTCATCAATCTAAAGAACATGGATACAACCAATTAAATCACAACTCCACTAAACCAATAGATGAACAAAAATACGAGAAAAGCTCGAGAACTTACCTGCAGAATTGGAACCAGATGAAGAAGCCATTGCGACTTCACAGCTTACTGCCTTCTCCCTCTTTTACAAATCTCAATGGTTCTTCCAGACAATAGGACTTGGAACTCTATATAACCGTATATTGCAAGAGCAGTGGCATAAGCTTTTATAGCACTCCTTTTGTCATTCCCTATTAGAATAGACTTAGGATTCAAACATCACAATTGATACAACATATCAATCCCAAACACGTTCTATTACCGAGTTCTAATCCCACAAGGATTATTCAGAATCTCACAAAACTTATTCCACAAGGAAACCAAATAAGTTAAGGCTTTTGACCAAGACTTTTCCAAATCAATCTTAAACACAAGAATGGATTCCTTCCATAACTCATACTCATAAACTTACAATAAGAACAATGGCATATATGGGGTTTAGGTCTCAAATTCATTTCATGTTTATGAAATGATCAATGCACAAATATTTTTGCAAATATTCAACTCTATCTTTAGCGCTGGACCAGATGGTCTATAGTAGCACTCGGTTTCTAATTAGTTTGATGAAGTCTCAGATTTAACTTACACGTATGTGATGATGTTTTATTTAACTTCATTGAGACAAGTGACTCAGTAAAAAAAGTGTGAATAATAGCTTTTTAAAGAAAAATGGAAGGTATTGGGTTCGATATCTTGTAAGCTGTAAATTTGCTTAATCATAATTACGAATAAAGTGGAAATCCCAACTAATTCCTTCCGGCCCCGAAAACAATGAAAAATTATGATTCGCAACCAGTTATTCCCTTTTAAAGAAAAAAAAATTGTAATTCATCGTAACACATATTGCCTGCCTTTAAAAGCATTTCCATAAATATTTACCCAAATTGTAAATAAAATAAGAATAAGACTCATCATTAATGTGAAGCGCAAGTTCAAATGGAAATAGGCCCAAAATGTAATGGAAAGGTTAAGCCCAATATTAAATAGAAAAGTATTGGGCCACTTTCTGAAGAACATTAGGCCCAATGTTTTCAACATTTTCCAGATGTTTTTTACTGATTTTTCAGCTCACCACTGATCGCATTTCAATTGAATGGTTGTGAGAAAACCACAGCACCACTGCGAAATGAAATCAAACCCACTTCAGAAATTTATTTCTTTTGATAAGCACTTCCACCAAAAGCTCCAAAATTATCCATATTTATCTGGCTTCTGCTTTTCAATCAGGAGTTCAGGTATGTCCCCATCTCTTGCAGTAGCTGGGAATTCTGTAAAAATGCAAACTTTGCTGGAAATTATATAATTTCATAGGAATTTCAATTCTGGGTTGGTATAGTTTCTTGTAAAAATATCTGAAAAAATGCAAGCTTTAGTCACTTGGGAAGTACCCCAGGTTGGATTTGAACTTGGTTCTTCTTGTAAATTTAGAACTAGAAGTAGGAGGAAAAAGATTGAAGTTGTGCGTTTTCCTGTTTGTAATGGTGGAAATGGTGACGTTTTACTTGGGAGTGAGGGTTTCAATGGAAGCAGAAAATTTGGTTTCGCATGTGGGTGCTTCTCTGGGCACTCTAGACTTAAACTTGCTCGGTTTTGTGAGCCGAAGAAGGGTTCATTTGGCGGTTCGTTTGTGGTAGCATGGGCATTGGAGAAGCAAGCAATTGGGAATGTGGTTCTTGTGGAGGAAGCGAATCCGGAAAATAGGTTGTCGGGTGAATGCGAGGGTGAGGGTGTTGTTGCTCATCGAAATGTGGATGGAAGGAAGGGCCGTGATGGTAATGATGATGATGAAATAGGGATAGGAGGTCAAGGAGAGAATTGGGAACAGAGAAATGAAAAGATTGACGTGCGTGCGCTGGCGCTAAGCTTACAGTTTGCGAAAACAGCTGACGATGTTGAAGAGGTTCTGAAGGACAAGGGTGATTTGCCCCTTCAAGTATTCTCATCCATTATCAGGGGTTTCGGAAGAGACAGATTGATGGATTCCGCTTTTGCTATTGTCGAGTGGCTTAAGAGGAAGAAGGAAGAAACTAATGGTTTCGTTACCCCAAACTTATTCATATATAACAGTCTTTTGGGTGCAGTGAAGCAATCTGGACAATTCGGACAAATTGACAAGGTATTGAGCGATATGACTAGGGAAGGGGTGGTACCGAATGTTGTAACTTACAACACTAAAATGGCGATTTACATTGAACGGGGACAAAGTATGGAGGCCCTTCATGTCCTTGAGGAGATTCAAGAGAAGGGCCTGATTCCATCTTCAGTATCGTACTCCACAGCATTGTTGGCTTATCAACGAATGCAAGATGGGAATGGAGCTTTAAAGTTCTTTGTTGAGTTTAGAGAAAATTATCGTAAAGGTCATATAGGTAAAGATGCTGATGTAGACTGGGAAGAGGAGTTTGTGAAGCTTGAGAACTTTACAAAACGCGTTTGCTACCAAGTGATGCGAAGGTGGCTTGTGAGGGATGATAACTTAACCACCAATGTGCTCAAACTACTAACAGAGATGGATATTGCTGGGGTTCCACTTGGTAGGGCAGAGCACGAGCGCCTTTTGTGGGCTTGTACCCGCGAAGAACATTATATTGTAGCAAAAGATTTGTATAGTAGGATAAGAGAAAAGCATTCTGACATAAGTTTAGCCGTGTGTAACCATACGATTTGGTTGATGGGGAAGGCTAAGAAATGGTGGGCAGCTTTGGAGATTTATGAGGATATGTTGGACAAGGGGCCGCAGCCAAATAACATGTCATATGAATTGATTGTATCTCACTTTAATGTTCTGCTAAGTGCAGCTAGAAAAAGAGCAATTTGGAAATGGGGTGTTAGGTTGCTCAACAAGATGGAAGAGAAGGGGCTTAAACCAAGAAGTAAGGAATGGAATGCGGTTCTTGTTGCCTGTTCCAAGGCTGCTGAAACTTCTGCTGCTGTCAAAATTTTTAAGAGAATGGTGGAGCAAGGTCAGAAACCCACAATCCTTTCTTACGGGGCATTGCTTAGTGCCCTCGAGAAGGGTAAGCGCTATGATGAGGCCCGTCAGGTGTGGGAACATATGCTTAAGGTTGGTCTGAAGCCAAACTTGTATGCCTACACAACTATGGCTTCGATTTTCAGTGGACATGGAAAACCTAACATGGTAGATGCCATCATAGATGACATGGTTTCAGCAGGCATTGAGCCAACTGTTGTCACATACAATGCCATTATCAGTGGGTTTGCAAGAAATGGTTTTAGCAGTGCTGCATATGATTGGTTTGACCGCATGAAAGCTCAGAACATCCCTCCAAACCATGTCACATACGAAATGATGATTGAGGCTCTCGCAAAGGAAGGGAAGCCAAGGCTTGCATATGAGCTATATTTGAGCGCTCGAACTCAACGCCTTGCCCTCTCTTCAAAAGCTTATGACACAGTCGTTCAGTCCTCACTGGAATCCGGAGCTAACATTGATGTAAGACTTTTAGGGGAACGCCCACCAGAGAGAAAGGTGAACGGGCAAGGTAGGAACACTTCCAGCCAAGTTTCTTAAAAATTCAGAAGTTTCACAACTCCTAAGAGATGCAAAAACATTTGATAACGAAGAAATATACGCTGTAACGACACAAAACAACCAGGTATTTGTTACTACGAAGTATGAACTTTCCGTTGATTTTTGTTCATTCGTCTCTGTATACTTCCCATGATTACATTGGAACAAATACATCCAACTCGTATAAATTCAGTCCGTTTTCGGCTTACAATGTGGATAAACTTCTTCCTTGTGTCAAACGTTGTAATGCTACGGAGACCACATTTATTCTTCTATTTGAGAGTTCATACATGTAATACAAGTGAACGTGGTCTCCTTAGCATTTTCCCTGCAGCAAATTAAAGATTTGAATATAGTAATATAGATTAGATGCTAATTAATCATCATTTTGAAGTGCCAGAAGGAATATATGGCGGAAACCTTTACAGCAATATATGGTGGAAGTTAAGTAGAAGAATAATATCTGGATTCTATTGTGTTTAAAGTAACAAGAATAATAAAAAAAAGAGAGAGTATTTTGTGTACAATGCTGGATTATCTAAACGAGCTGAGATCCTCTTCGGACCTCACTGTCTGGGAGTCCGATGATCAGAAAATCAGGATTGTTCAAGAGAGAGATATGGGTCTTGGTTTGTGTGGAGTGGGCCGGTGAAATGGGTTAACAAAAACCGTCAAATTCAATTTGAGTGGTTTGAATTTTTTGGTCATTGTATTTGGGATAGTGAGATCCAAAGAGAATCTCGCTCTACCTTATCAATATCTTCTGCTTCCTTAAAGAAGACGGTGATTTTGACATGATAACAATTTTTTTATTGGTAAACATGACATCTTGCAATTAATTATGTGATCATTATTCTTTTATAATTCAAAAAACAAATAATTATTTAATTTATTTTTCTTGTTGGTAACTTGCGTTAATTTGCTATTGTAATTGAATGGACTTTAAGCTAACTTGGCAGTTAGAGAGCAGCATGCTCTTTTTTGTACTCAAGTTCGAGTCTACTTTCATCTAATTTAGATAATTTATTGTAATTATCATTCGTATAAAAAGAAAACAAGAAAAACAGGTAAAGGATTCAAGGGACTTAAAAGTTGGTGAATACTTCTTTCCTTTTATTGGATGGTTAACAAATGCCACCAAGCGAAGAAATTCTTTGGTTCAGCTGCTGGTGAATCACGTCATAGTGATGTATAGGATCCCAATACAAAACTCGTATCTTTGTATGTGTGATTTCATGAGTGACACAATCTATCTGCCGGACCTAAGAATTTCTTGATTAAGCAAGTTTTTTTTTTTTTTTTCTCAGGATCAAGATGCTTGCAAGTTACCACCGTTGTAAAGGAGTAGCAAGAATTGGACGCTTGAGCATTAGGCAATCTCCAGATAAAGTCCAATCATTTGGCCCCGGTCTAAACTCCTGCGTTGGCAACGACCAACGACCCAAAAGAAAAAAGAGATACAAAATTCACCTTCGTTGGCACGCAAAAGCAACTGAGATTTCGACAGATGCGTGTTGTTATGTTTAACCAACAGTACTGCTATTTCATCGGATGCCAAAACTTAGGTTCAATTGGAGGGATTAGGATTCTCTCCGGATCCTTTCATCCAAATTTTCCGCATCCTTCAATTCTGAAGCTGGAGAGAGGGATGGAGAAGAGAAAAGAGGATGAACAAGAGAAAGTGATCATGGAAGAAGATGAACATAAGGAGGTGAAGATGAAAGTGAACATCAAATTAATTTCTGACTATTCAATTTTTGGTTGAACGTACGTAATTGAAGAATTCGGAGAATTAAAATGGAAGGAATACATGGCCACTATAGAGCGCGAGTAAGGCCTTATCCGTTTTAAGAGAGGGTATTGATGGAATTTTAGACAATTTAGAAAAGAATATTATTGTTTATTGCAATTTGCAAGCAAAATTCTTGTCGTGGACACATCAATTCACATGCTTTTGGGTAAGTGTGTGGAGCCTGTAGATTGGATGTTGTCTAAACAAATATATCAAATCTATAAAAATATTGTTTTGGTTTGAAAATCTCAAATTATTTAAGTCGGAAAATGTTCTCAAATAACGTTATTACTTAAAAAAAATTAAATAATTATTAGTATAGCAAATCTACACTAGGGAAATGAGGCATTTTTTTTACTTTGAGTGCAGTGTCATTCTAAAATTCATACTGTCAATCTCATTTGGTAAAACAACGTTTGATTTTGTAGTTGTTGTTAGTTTTTCTAAGTATTAGAGTGGTGTGCATTACTTAAAAATGGGTTTGCAAAAATCACTGCTTAGACTTTTTGCTGTCAATACAAAACGGCATATTTGTGTTACGAACGAATATAATGCAACATTATGAGCAACTTATTAAGATGATATCGATATCAACCATACAACATACTACTTGCTATTAATAGTGGCACGAAACTTGTAGTTCAATTAAAATTATTCACTTTCTACTCTCTGAGCCTCGAATTTAACTCTCTACTTTTTTTTTTAGTATCGTTCGTAACTTTGTATCAAATAAGGAAAGAAAATAAAATTACTTATGGTAATGCAAAACTGCGTTGTCCGAGTCATTGTGTAGTGTTCGTTCCTTGTGCAAATTGTTTATTGTATTTTTCGTATTTATTTTTGGTTGCTTTGCTTTGAAGTGAACAGAAACATAAAAAGTAAAATATGGCGTAAGCATCATCCTCCTCCGGCTCCTCCTCCTGACTCCTGGACGGTACCCGCCACCATTCACAATCCTCCCACCAATTCGAAACGTTTTTTCAACCGCCTTCATATCGTTTCACAAATCACAAACCCCATGTGATTTCGTACTATTTAATGTTCATATTTTTCAACTCCAAGGTTCAAAAATCAAAACTTGAAGCCAGAAGAAGAGTGAATCACAGATTTTGGGTAAGTTTCTGAACTGGGTTTTGTTGTTTATTGGTTTGTTTTACTGTTTCTGTCAGTAAGGTTGGATTTTTACTGCCTGCAGGTCGGAATTGGAGTGGAATTTGAGATGGGTTTGTATTGATTTTTGAAGATCTGGTTTGGTGAGGACTGAGGAGTAAGAAGGAAGATGGAACCTCCAAGGGGGGTTTGGGCTTCTTTGTGGAACTTCATCTGTTTTCTTCCTTACTTCATAGGGCTTCTGATTCTTGGCAACATTAAAGGTAACTCAAAAACTGATTTATGTGGTTGTTTTCTCGATTAAATTCTGAGTTTTAATGGGGAATTGATAACCTTTTGAAACTTTTATGTTGTTTTTTCATGAATATTTTACAACCTGGGTTCTTGATTTTCGTTTCCCTTTTGTCGAATGTCTTCTGCTCGTTCCGGGCTTGGCAGTTGTTTGGCTGTTTTGAATCCATTCCATGTAATAAAAAGTATCGGCCTTGTGGATAGTATTGAGTGGTTCTTTAAAATTCAATTTGTATTCAATCAGGATTTTAAGATAGTTTATGAATTTAAGTGATTCTCTGAAATTCAATGTGTATTCAATCAAGATTTTAAGATAATTTATTAAAATCCTTAGAAATCCAGGTGTATTCAATTAGGATTTTAAAGAAGTTTATAACATTCTAGATGTATTCAATTATAATTTGATTTGAAAGAATTTGAAAAAGTTGAGGAATTAGAGGGAATTGGAGAGATTTCGTAGTGTAATTTAAGCATCCACAAATCTCACCTCTTCCCAAGAGATTTTGAGGTAATTGAATCAAAATTTTACATGAATTCTCTACAAATCAATTAAACTCTATAAAAATCCACTAAAATTTCTTAAATTCCCAATTGAATACACCCCTTTCAGAATGTTGCTTTGAGAAATTAGAATCGGCGTTCAATCTTGAAATGGTTTGTTAATGTTGATATCAGGAGTTGATTTATTAGTTAAGAGACATTGCTCGAAAGAGTATGATATCAGGAACGCGTGTTAAACCTAATATCCAAGTATTGTTTCAGGTATCATTTTCTGCCCGTTGATATGCCTTATCATGACAGTCGGAAACACCAGTATCATACTGGGTCTTTGGCCAATACACTTTGTGTGGACCTATTATTGCGTTTTGAGGTGTGTCCCTTGGCCTCTATCTTCAAATTTCTATGTTTCATTAGTTATCTCTCTCAAATCTCGTTCTCATGTTGTGTTTAAAGCAGCAAAACCATAAGAATACCTTCCTCATGATTCTTCTTTTTATATATCTGCATATATATTTTTCAGGTCCAAGAGATTAGGGCCAGTTCTGAAGATTGTTAACTGCTTATGTGTACTACCTATCGTCTTGATCTTGTGGCCAGTGGTTGGGATTGTTGGTAGTATTTTGGGTGGAGCAGCATTTGGCTTTTTTTCACCAATAATGAGAACTTTTGAAGCTGTTGGAGAAGGGAAGACCGATAAACTGTACCACTGCTTTTATGTATGTCTTCAATTTTTATGTTGTATCATAATTATGTTGTTCTTGTTCCTTGCCAATCATTCTTCTCCTGTTGCCTCCATAACAGAGATTTATCTTTCACAACATGTTTCAGGATGGAACTTGGAGCACTGTCAAAAGGTGCTTCAATATTGTGAGAGATACCAGGGATTTTTTTTACTACACTTACTTCTCACTTATGGATGACCTGCAACAAGAAGGTCCCCCGGGCGCAAAATATTATGAGATTAGGTATGTTGTTTTGCTCTGCCTCTCAAAATCTACTGCTTTCTTATTTGTGTTTCTATTAGAATATCAATCAGACAAGTTAATGATGAAGGAATAATACATGATAAGTGTCCTTATTACTTCAGTTTCATCTGTTTTTGCTATTGTGGTCCAGCTGTTTATCTTTTTGTTAGACCTATCCATCATGATCATTCTTTTCGTCTGACCAGGAAGTTTTTCAACTTTCTTGCAGGGTGCTATATCTTCCTGGGGCTGTTATATTAGCAGTCCTTGGTTTCTTGGTTGATATGCCAGTGATCTCATTTATTGCCATATGCAAATGCCCATACATGCTCTTCAAGGGGTGGCACCGTTTGTTTCATGACCTTATAGGTCGAGAAGGCCCTTTCTTGGAAACAATATGTGTTCCATTTGCGGGTCTTGCTATCCTAGTCTGGCCATTGGCTGTTGTTGGGGGAGTGTTGGCGTCAATTGTGGCTGGTATCTTTCTTGGTGCTTACGCTGGAGTGATTGTTTACCAGGTTATTCATTGCTCATTTTTCCTCTGACATACTTAGTTGATGTAACTTGTGTATATCTCTGTATATTCAGATATTTTTTTGTGTTGTTAGGATATGAAATGTGTTTAGATTGAATGAGTATGTTATTCATATGTATAGCTTGAGTCAAACACGTTTGAAACTGGAGAAAATATATAACATTTCCCCACTTGGAAACGCAATAACTATGCATATCTGATAACGGGATCTTGATACCAATTCAGAAGCAGAGATTTTTCTTATGTCCATGTGACGTAGATTGCGAGTATTAAGATATTTTATGACCTTTGTGTTACAGGAATCCTCATTTTGGTTGGGGCTTTGCTATATCGTTGCATCCTTAGCCATATATGATGAATACTGCAATGACATCCTTGACATGCCAGAAGGATCCTGCTTTCCAAGGTTCTAGTCAGCACTCTGTACTTTAAAGTTTTGATATGGGGTTGTCTTGTACTTTGATATTATCTAATAGATTTCTTGTACTGACAGGCCAAAGTACCGAAAGAAGGCTGAATTGCCCCAGACCAACTCTCGCACACCCTCTTTCTCAAGGCCTGGCTCTTTTCGGGGTGCTCCCTCCCGCTCACCTTCATTCGCTACTCCTATCATTGAATTAAAGCCCCTTGAGGTACTGCTTATGTATTATGTTTAACATTAAGGGCTACTTTGTACTGGAACCAAATTTGCATTTTAGCTGGATGTGTTTGATGATGCCTTGACTAAAGTACACAGTTTTGACTTCTGAAAGAACATCCTATTTTGTTCGTGGTTTCGGTGCTCATTGAACAACTTTCATGGCCTGTGCAGCTAATTGATAGTTTATTTAAGGAGTGTAAACATCATGGGGAAAAAATGGTTGCTGATGGAACTATTACGCTTCAAGACCTTGAAGACGCCAAGTCCAGTCAAGGTAGCAGAGTCATTAGCATTGGCTTACCAGCATATTGCCTTCTTCAGACACTCCTGCGATCTGCAAAAGCCAATTCATCAGGAATATTGTTAAGTAAGTCAAATTCTTTTTTCCCTCGCCAATTAACTTAACAGACCAAATAAACACTTTCCTTGATATTCTTACCAACTTATTATTAAACCTTATACATGATTGATGCAGGTGACAATGGTACCGAGATAACTACCACAAACAGACCGAAAGACACTTTTTTTGATTGGTTTTTCAATCCGCTGTTGATCATCAAGGACCAGATAAGAGCAGAAAACCTTTCTGAAGCAGAAGAGGCCTACCTTTGCAAATTAGTTCTGCTGACTGGGGATCCTTTGAGGTTGAAACAATCGAACATTGGCTCACCACCTGAATCAGAGCGGAAACAGGCTGAACTTGATGCATTGGCTCGAAGGTACTGATGCAATTTTTTCTTCTATTACAGAGTCTGATTTTTCCCCGTTCGCTTTCATGATTTGTCCAGCTTATCCTGTCATGCAGACTCCAAGGTATCACTAAATCTATCTCGAGGTATCCAACTTTCAGGCGTCGATTTGAGAATCTTGTCAAAACCATCTCCGATGATCTTGCACAGCATAGTAACGGTAGCAGCAAATCGAGCAATGGACCTAAAACAGTTCCGAGATCAAAGAGTGCCTTTACCCAGCTCTTCAGCCAGAAATCCTTTAGTTTTACAAAAACAAGCAACCATGGGACAGATCCAGAGTCGGGGATCGTAAGAGACCTGACAATCACATAATGAATTGTGTTACAAGTAGTTTTGTTTTTAGAGATATCCTTGTTCATTCTTCAAAGATTTACCTTCTTGTTCATGCTTCGGATACACCCAAGAATGTATTTTCGAGTGTACCGTATACAAATACACGTATTTTTCATGTACTGTATTTTGTGATTTAAGAAATTATAAGCGCATTAACGCAGCACCCGAAGTTCTATGTTCGAAATTTCGAATCCTAACTCAATATTTCCTTTATTCAAAGTTCATTAAACAACAATGCAATAATGATTTCGTTAAAAAGTACTTTAATTATACTTCATGAGAAAGCACTTAGGAACACTGTCATGACCAATAAGCGCTTAAAAATTTATTTTTGTCAAACGTAATCAAAAGCGATTTGATGGTCACAAAATGTCTTTGAACCTTTTTGAAGCTCCAACGTTCCCCATATTCCACCACAATCATTCTGAACGTTCACGTGGCGTCATCGTTCTTCAATTTTGATCCAATAAGAGCATTAGTTTTTGAACTAATAATTTGTGAGTATTGACTCCTGAATTTTTTATATAGTAGAGCCATCACCTTTCCTTTAGAGCGATAATCATTTTTGCAAACACAGTTAGAACATTCATCCAAATCTCGGATTACCATTGCTCCACAGTATAACAAGTTCAAAGACCAATACTCAAAAATCAGAATTTTAATTCAGATACTAAATCTCCAATTAAGCTAAAATCCAAGGACCGGTGATCCAATTACCTCATAAAACAAAAAACAAAAAAAAATTCAATTTCCATTAAAAATTTGACCGAGTCAAACGGAGTTCCCAGCTTCTCATCCCATCTAAACCCCCCACTACGTGTGTTAGTGCAGTAACTAACTCTAAACCTCCCCTCCCCTCCCCCTCACTTATATATTAACCCCCTCCCACCTCAAACCATGTCACAAATTGCTGTCAGTTTTTGCACTCAGAAACAATTCATCTCCCGAATAGCAAAAGAGCTTCTGTAAAAGCATTTCCCAAATGGCTAACTTCAACTGCAACACGATCTTTCTGTTTTCTCTGGTGATGTTTTTCTTCTGCTATGGTCATTTCGTCTCCGCCTTCGAGTTCCAAGTTGGTGGAAACAAAGACTGGGTTGTCCCTCCCGCCAACGACACCAAAATCTACAACGATTGGGCCTCTGAAAACCGGTTCCAAGTCGGCGACACCCTCCGTAAGTACACACATAGCATGCACCCGAACTTGAATCCCACTACAAGTACATCATACTAGTTAAGAATATCGTTTTTTATTTTGTTGTAATGTTGTTTTGGAAGAATCAACCGTTCAAGTATTTAAAATTACACGCTAAAAACGGTAGAAATAGGGTCATATATAAGTATAATATATATGTTATGCGATCTATATGTAGTACACAATTAATAAAACAGAAGTTGAATCTCCCTCCGTATTTTTTAGTTGCTTAGAATATCGCTTTATTATGTTGTTTAGTTTGCAGATTTTAGGTACACAACGAAACACAAGTCGAATCTCAGTCCCAATATATTAGAGTAGCTTAGAATATCACTTTTGTTTTATTATTATGTTGTTTTATAGGTTTATTACAAAATAAAACATGAATCTCCTTCGAGCATATTAGAGTACCTAGAATATCGCCTTGTAATGATTGTTTTGTTCTTCTTACGATGTTTTGGTTTTGTAGGCTTTCACTACAAGAAGGACTCGGTGATGGAGGTGACAGAGGCGGAGTACAAAAAGTGCAACTCGACTCGCCCCAACTTCTTCTCGAACACTGGAAACACCGTTTACACGTTCGACCACTCGGGCTCCTTCTACTTCATCAGTGGAGCCGCTGGACACTGCGAGAGGGGACAGCGCATGATAGTTAAGGTGATGGCGGCGGAGGATGAGGACTCTCCGTCGGGTGGTGACGCCATAAAATCTTCCGGTGCTGCGGTTTCCTCAGTCGGAGTCTCCAAACTTGTCCTTGTTCAGTTTGTTATGTCGTACGTTGTTGCTTCTGTTATGTTCTAGTTTGATTAATTAAGTTTGTGGAATGTTAATTAGCATGGTTATTACTGGTTAGGGTTGTTAATTTCTAGAGTTGGATTTTGATTAATATTTAGGGTTATTTATTGCTGGAGTCTTTGTTTAATGTTAAAACTATGGTAATTTTTGTTAATTTCGTACGTATGTCATCTGTATACATTGATCACTAGCTTTTGTCTAATTTATAACAAAAATTGGATGGCTTAATTTGGATGTCATAATCAGTGTTTAAAATATTTGTATGCAAATTTATGAAAGTATTTATGAATATATCAATATCGGTTGTTGTTCGACGGAAATTAAGAAAAATTGTAATCGGGCGGGTGAGCATATCAACTCATTCAAATTTAGTCAAAATTAAAGAAAAAATTCTTAGAAAGTATTCAAAAATTCGAAATCTGCAATGGGTTTCAACAAAATTACTGTAGTGAATTGGTAAATAGTGGCAATATTCATTGATTTTTCTCGCCGTTATAGAGTGAAGTTTGCATTTCACCCTCTGTTTCCATATCGTCTTTGGTTTTTCGAATATTTCAACGGAAGTATGGGCAATTTCATAAATATATTAAATACTGGCTACAATCAAATAGAGGAAATTAAAGTATAAAAAAGAAAAAGACTTTTGATTGAAATTTCTCCAGAAGTGCTACAATTGCTAAAGAGATATCCTATGTGGTATTTTTGCCACCTTTCTTCCTACAATTTAAATATGTATTAATCTACACAAAAGTATGGGGAACATGGAAAATTAAGGTCTCTAAACAAGGATTAATCATCAAAAGCTAGAGAAAATTCAATTACAAATGCTCGAATAACAACATCTTAGATTCTCAGAAACACCAAAGCTTGGAGATCTTCACAAACAGCAAAACCATTTCTTCTGCATTCAAATAAGAAGCAATCAGTGATACAAAACTCCCAAGAGAGGAACGAATACGAAATACAATTAACGCAACTAATTTTAGGGCAAACGTGAGTTAGGCAAGTTAGTTAGGGCAATTTACCGACTCTCGTAAACTAGAATGTGTAGATATTGAGAGTGAATAATGTTGTTAAGTTAATTACCTCTTGGGGATATTGATCGTTTATTGGTTTGGTTGAGGAGGGAGTCCCATTGGCAGCCCCATTGTTCATCTTCTGATCTCTAGCTTTAGTGAATATCACAGTAAACCCTTCAGCTGATGCCGGGTTGTTCACATCCCACTCTCCAAATTTGGGCAAGGGCCGTCCCATCTCCTGCTCCACAAAACCCACAATACATTATTTGGTTTTGCCAATTGTATACATCCATGTGTTTGTCTTTCTCAGCACCTCATACGTTGAAATTGAGAAAGACGGACATCATCGAGGCTAAAACATGTAAACTCGAAATGAAATGCAGATGCACATGTTATGTGGAATACAAACTTACCGAGGCCATTCGCAGGAGGAGCGGAGATTCGAGGAAGACGAGACTGGAGACTTGGGAGAGAAGCAATGGAGAAGAAGAATGACAGAGGAAAAATAGAGAGGTGGCGTGAGTTGTACGTGATAAGGGAGGAAGAAGGAGAGCGTAGCTAAAGCCTAAACCAAAGGAAATGGATGGCACAAAAAGTGACGTGCGTAGTTAGTAGTTAGCATGTAGTTGTTCAGTTTTTGTACCCTACATGTCACACCCATCATTTGTAGCAAATTCTTAACAATAAAGTCAAATAATACGCCCCCTTCTATTAACATAATCTTCCCTAACAACGTTGGAAGATTCTCGGCTATGCTCAGGAATTCGTTCTTCTATTTTTTACATTACATAACCAACTGTTATATGCTCTAGAATTAATATTTCTCACACTACGTTTAGCCTTTTAGCCGCCTCCCAAGCCCATAAACTAACATTTCCATACACCTCCCTCGTTAATTTTCAGGTTGGGTGTCTTCATAAAAGAGAAAGAGCTAATTACAAAATACATCCATGAGATTTAGAGCCACTTTCATTTTTTGCTTCACTCTGAATTACTAAATTTTTTTAATTCAAGTCATCCTTGCGTTTCAATGAAATCAGACAGAAAAAAAGATAGTCCATTTTGTATCTAATTGCCTTCTAAACGTTGGCCTCATACTTGCTACGGGAACAATGAATTGAGAAGTTCTTGGGTACGATAGATTGGAGATGGTGTGAGAGAAATGTCTGATCAAAAGTGTGTTAGGGTTACCACTGACAAATCAAGAGGTGGGGAAGGGGAAGGTTTGTTGTGTCTGATCTGTAGGTATGAGCTGGTTTAGTAGTTGGACCATAGAATTTTTCAGTTAATAGGCCATAAGAAGCTAGAAAAAGGAGTGGTTTAAATTGCTAATAGCTTAATACTTTCGGTAGTTAGGTGAAAACCCCGAAAGATTGTGTCCCTTTTTGAAAATGATTCCAAACTTCAAGGTGTATTTTGTAATTAGGTCATACAAATCTTGTTCGGTTTGAACCATCAAAGTTGGGCCTCTGAGAGGCCCAATTAACAAGCGCTTGGGCCACAACCAGCCACGGTGGGTGGGCAATGAATAAATCTCTTTGTTCCACGTGGCAATCATCCATGGGTGGTTGCGTGGTGTACCCGCGCTTAAAATCAAACGATTGATATACAATCGAACCACGCTCGCACCAAAAAACAAACGGCTCCCCATCGGACACGTCACCGAGGAAACGCCAGGACGCGCAGCCAATCACGACCCGGAATCGAACTAATCCCACTATTTCATTTACAATTACAGATAAGCCCTCGCCAGCTGAAACCATCCCCTTATATAACCGGGTATGGTATTTCCGTCATTTCCCAACCCCTTCGTCTCCATTATCGTCTCCTACTCTCCCTCTCTGTCATTTTCTCTTCCAATCTCTCTCTCTGTTCGCAGTTGTTGGAGCTCGGAAACGCAACAATGGCGACGGGGTTGATACGGAGGGCCATTGCTTCTGCGGCGTCGTCGGGATCGACGGCGGCGGCGTCGTTTCGTTACTTGTGCGTCCGGGCTATGGCGTCGGAGGCCCAGGCCCAGCAGGTGGACCTCAAGGCCCGAGACAAAACGGACATCAAGACCTTCTCAATCTACCGGTGGAACCCGGACAACCCGAAGAAGCCGGAGCTCAAGGAGTACGAGATCGACCTCAAGGAGTGCGGGCCCATGGTACTCGACGCCCTCATCAAGATCAAGAACGAGATGGACCCCACCCTCACCTTCCGGCGATCTTGCCGGGAAGGGATCTGCGGCTCCTGCGCCATGAACATCGACGGCTGCAACGGCCTGGCCTGCCTGACGAAGATAGCGCCGTCGGAGGCGGGCGCCTCGATGATCACGCCGCTGCCGCACATGTTTGTGATCAAGGACCTGGTGGTGGATATGACGAACTTCTACAACCAGTACAAGAGCATCGAGCCGTGGCTGAAGCGGAAGAGCCCGGCGGCGGAGTTGGATGGGAAGGAGATAAAGCAGAGCAAGAAGGATAGGGCGAAGCTGGATGGGATGTACGAGTGCATTCTGTGCGCCTGCTGTAGCACATCCTGCCCTAGCTACTGGTGGAACCCTGAGTCTTACTTGGGCCCCGCCGCCTTGCTCCACGCCAATCGGTACATTCATTTCTCTTGATTCTTCATCTCTATTTCAGAACTTGCTAGGGATCTTGATTATTGATTGATTAGTTTAACATGATAATCTCTTTGATTAAGCAACTAATCCACGCTTAAATGTAGGATGAATTGATGTATTAGTTGAATGTTTATGTGTAGGATTGAAAGTTGATTGGAAATGTTGCTGTTTGGGTACAAATTTTGTGTCTTGTTGGGTCAATTTTTTATATTGGGAAGTTTTACAAACAACAACAACAACCATTCCTTAATTATCCCACTAAGTTGGGTCTACTGCATGAATCCTAGAACGCCAGTGAGCTCGGTTTTGCACTTGATTGGGGAAGTTTTGTTTCGAAAAAAACGAATTCTTCCTTTGTCAATTCCATGTTTTGAGCTACTGCTAGGAACACAACCCATCATAACAAACTAGAGATCTGCTCGTGACTCAAAGCCGTCTCAGGGATCTGTCTGGCGTGTTGAACGTTGAGTGACCGAGAGTAGTAGTTAGTAACTAACATGGAGCTGCAGTTCATGTGCCGGAGCTCATGGCGTTGGTTGTAGTGAGATTGTTTCGAAGGTGATGATAAGGGTTTTGGTTGCCATCTTCAAAAGGCAAGAACTTGAAGAAAAAACTGATTTGGAACAAAATCCAAACCACATTTTGCAGTGTAGTGCTTAATCTCATGTTTTTGGGATAGGATGTCTGTCAAACAATATTTGTTCCTTGACTATGGAGCTCGAAACATTCCTAATTGTACTCGTAGCGTATATAATTGTGATTTTCTCCTCTGCATATGCAATTTGCTGTGGTTGTTCGTTGTATATCCTTGGAGGTGAACGCTGCATCCTGAGTCATTTTTTGTGTTGTTATGCAGGTGGATAAGTGACAGCCGTGACGAATACACAAAGGAGCGACTGGATGCAATAAACGACGAGTTCAAGCTCTACCGATGCCATACCATATTGAACTGTGCTCGTGCCTGCCCGAAGGGTTTGAACCCCGGAAAGCAGATCCAACATATCAAGCAGCTCCAGCTGAAGCCCTAAGTTTCTGAAAGCAAATTGTGTCTATTTCAACCATTTATTCTGGGAATTTTTCGGGGTTCATCAGTCATGTGGTGTGAGCAAATAATTAGTGAATTGATTGTATCCTTTCATCCCTTTAATAAAATTGGGAAGGAAGCATGTTGTTTTTGTTTATAAATCTTTAGCATCGGCCGAGCGCCGGTGTCGTTATCTTTCTTGGCTTCTATGTCGAACTAGAAGCTTTTCGTTGATCCAAAAATCTGAATCCACAGCTACTCCCACATATCAGAACCCTATACAGATCCACTCAAACACCATTCAAGGTTCAGACATTTCATGATCGAACTCCTTTGTCTGCTCCATTGACGCTACTGTTTCGCTTGACCTAACTTCGGTCTGAAGCAATGTGATTAGCATGATTTTCTGCAGGATGCAACAATGACAACTACACAGCCTGTGTATGATACCGTCGGTTCTACACTTGCTTTCAATTTCAACGTAAATCTACATGTCGAAGACT